AATTCACAATGTACAGGTGAGTTTAAGGTATGACTTAATTTGTATTTGTAGCTCATTATGAGGTTGTAAAAGGTTTGTTGTGGTGCTTAAGTGACAGGTCTTGAAATGTGAAGTCACAAAGACTAGATAGCTTGCAATCACTAAAGAAAATGTCTTTGAAAAAAAAGAAAAAACAAAAGAAGGGTGTTTCATTTCACTTTGAAGGAGGAAATACTTCTTTCTAAGTTGACTTAACGCGTTTCCTTTTTTTCCTGTCTGGGCAGTGAACTGTAAAATCAATTATTCCTGTAGCTCTTGTGATACGTGAACAGAGATCCAAGCCTGAAGTCACTCTCTCTGGCAGTAACTGTCAGTACATAATAGAGGCTGGCATTTGTAAATAGAAAGCTGCAGTCCTTGTTGTTGCTTTTATTACATAAAAAGCATGTCAGAGTGACCATTTGCTTTGTGTCTGTGCTTCAGAAGGCAACACAGAGCCAAGTAGTTTGGTACATGCAGTTTGACAGAAGTTCACTGTGTTTAACAGCATATTCTGCCAAACACCATGAGAGAAATGGCACCTGCAAGAGAACTGAGTTAAATTCGTTTGTTAGATCCACACTGGCCCACATGCACTGACAAAGTGTCTTCAGCCAGCTCGGGTATCAGCCATGGCCATTCTCTCTTGTAGGGACAGGAGACCTTCCCCTCCCTGCACACCTCTTCACTTCTATCTCAGGTCCCTTCAGTTCCTAATTTTTCTTTAAGAGGATTCTAAGCTCACACTAGACCCAAAAATGCATGCTCTGGCTGATTGTCAGCTTCTTGGAGTCAGCAATTACTGCTGAGTGAAGAATCCAAATCATGATGTCTGAAACATTTCTCCTCTCTGAGGGAAGAAAAGACTTATTCTAATTCAGGATGCTCCACATTTATTTTCCTCTGTTCAAAATTATATGAATTAGGTTTTTATTTATTTTTTTTTTTTAATAAGCACTGGGGTGGAACTTCTCTGCCTGCCTCTGAATTGTCTGCCTCTGAGCTTCAAGTTTAATTTTCTTCATGCACAGTCCTTTCCTTTCATACGCAGTGGAAAGCAAGGAGCATTTCTAGGGAATTGTGCATTATAAAAAATGTTGAAGAGGGACTTTTTGCATGGTTGTGAAGTGATAGGACAAGGGAGAATGGTTTTAAGGGCAGATTTGTGTTGGCTAATTGAATGAAATTAATTCCTGTGAGAGTGGTGAGGCACTGGAAGAGGTTCCTGGGAGAAGCTCTGGGTGTCTCAGTGCTGGAAGTGTTCAAGGCCAGGTTGGCTGAGGCTCTGAGCAGCCTAGGATAGTGAAAAGTGTCCCTGCCCCTGGCAGGGGCTTGGAACTCGGTGACCTTTAAGGTCCTTTCCAACCAAACCATTCTAGGATTCTGTAACAACAACATGTGAAGTGGAGGGGATGAATTGTGCTCAAAAAATGCCTGTTTCTCTCTCTGTGCTATGAAGGGAGTCCAGGATGATGAGCTGAGCTGGACATGTTTATGGTCTAAATATAAAAGTGTTGCTAGATACCAATCTCACCACTCTTAGGCAAGCAAACTGTGGCATGTATTACAGCTTTGGTCATTATCCAATGTAAACATTTGTAAAAAAAGCCAATAACAATCTATAAAATCCTAGAGAAAATAATTTATTTACTTAGCTCTTTATTCATATACTTAATATGAGACAATATATAGCATTGATAGAAACACTCTTCCAGCTGCTAACCTTTATAATTACATAGCATAAAGCCATCTCCGCCACAGCTGAGCACATCCTTCCCTGTTGCCAGGCGTGCAAGTTGAATCAAAACATTTTTGACATTTTCTGATGTCCTGAATGCCAATTGTAATGGCACAATTGTGTTAATATCACTTAACAGGGTCTCCTTTTCCTCATGTGTGTGTGTGTGTACATACAAGTGGGAGAGACAGAAAGATGTTAACAAGTGTTCTTTTAAAAATTTACTGGTTTGTGCTGCTGCCTGCAGAGATGAGTAACAAAAAGGCAGCTCTTCAGCAAAGTGGCCCTTGTTTGATCACAGAAACAGGAGTGGATTTTCTTTCCTTATCTGTGAATAGGCAGCATGGACTCTCTTTAATCAGAAAGGACAATGTATTAAGGCCCTTTTTGATGTTTCCACTGTGTTATTTTTGTTTAGGATATCAGAATTTGCACCATAAGTGTGTATGTATTAATACATATTTAAAATTACATATAAAGACCAGCTTTAGCTAAATAGACAGAAAAATATTTATATAAATCTTTGTAACTAATCTGTCCCCCTTTTTTTCATAAATAGTTTTTTTGTAATATTTTGGGGGTTTTCCCCCATAAAATTGTAATTATTCAGTGTTGCTCTGTCATCTCTTAGCCAAAGGATATCACAGTGTGCTTTGTGAATGTTCCCTACACAGACTCTTATTAATAACAATATGAAGATATGAACTAACATGTCATTTTCAGACACAGATGTAACAGAGGGAAATAAAAGCACACCCAAAGGGTTGTAGTGCATAGGGTGATGTGGGAAATAGTAAAGGTAAGATTTTTAGAACGCTGAGAAAGCAGGCCCTAGAAACAGAAAGAACAGAGAAGTAGCTGCAGCTGCAAAGTCTGAAAGTAGAAAAAGTTACGATGGTATAGCAAGCAAGATATTAAACAATAACTTGAGTTTTAGGCTTGGCTAAGATAGACCTTAAGACTGCAGGAAAATGTGCTTAGTGAGATAGTAGAAGGTTTTAAGCTGAATAATAGTGTATTGTGTATTGTTAATAGAAGGCATACCAGCAGGCACTGTGTGAAGCAGGTGTATGTGTGCTTTTAGTGATTAGCTAGAACAACTGTCTGTAAGCTTTAGCAATATGCTATTGGCTAAAAAGTCTTTAGAATGTTCTGTAACAAAGAAATCTTTGGCTGCTGCTGGCTGTACGTGAGCTTTGCCATCTTTCTACTGTCTCAACCATGTAATGAGGCTGATGCTGCAATAAAAGCTCAAGGAACATGCCCCAGCAGTGCCGTCCTGTTTATGGAAACAGCTCCCCAACACAGGGTGACATCAGGCTGGCAATGTAAATAGTGAGATTCTGCAGGGCTCCATCCTTTTCCCAATTCTCCTCAACATCACTAACACCTTGGATGCAGAACTCGAAGAAATACTGAGTAAATTTGTCGATGACGCTAAACTAGGAGGAGCTGTCGAGTCCCTTGAGGGCAGGGAGGCTCTGCAGAGAGATCTCAACAAATCAGAGAAATGGGCAATCACCAACAGTGTGGAGATTAACAAGGGCAAGTGTTGGATCCTGAATGTGGGATGGGGAACCCTGGATGTACAGACTGGGCAATGAGGCTGGAAAGCAGCTGTGGGACAGGACCTGGGGGTCCTGGTTAGTGGAAAGTTGGAATCAGGAGAGCCCTGGCAGCCAGGAGGGTCAGCCCTGTCCTGGGGGCATCAGCACAGCATCACCAGCCTGGCAAGGGAGGGGATTGTCCCACTCTGCTCTGCACTGGGATGGCCTCACCTCCAGTGCTGGGGGCAATTTTGGGTGCCACAATATAAGAAAGATATGAAGGTATTTCAGAGTGTCCAAAGAAAGGGTATGAAAATTGTGAAAGGCTATAAAGACATATGAGAAGCAGTTAAGGGCTAGGAATTTGATTAAATAATCCTAATGGATCCCTTCCAAATCAGGAGACTCTATGATTCTATGATACATGATTCATACTTCTCTTGTGCCAGATGATCCAGTGCTCATCTCAGAAGAAGGATGCCTTGGGTCAGACACTGCTCTGACTTTGATGAGACATTTTCCCAGTGCATAATTTACTGCTAAAGCAAAGTTTTTGCAGCTTTAATTTTCTCTGTGGTGATGTATAATCCTAGAGATCAGGTGGAGGAAAAGGACTTTTCCCCTTTTTATTTATCATAATCAGAATTGTTCAAGAACTTCTATAGAATACCCTATTTTGCTTTTACATGAAGAGCCATTGTGATTGTGACTGTAGATACTTGTGATGGTATATAGGATGTAACAGTCTCCAATCACTAAGTTCAGTGTTTAAAGTGGGTGGGAAACAGACTTCAAAAAACTTCATAGAAATTTAAAAATTATGAAATGCCCCCTAAAAGAAAAATCATTAAAAAAAACCACAAGAAACCTAAACATTTGTATCAAACCACAAAAACCAAAGCATCTCCATGAAGTAAATTATTTTGGGTTCTTTTTTCTTTGACTTTTAAATTCTAAAATATATTGCTATATGAACTTTTTCTTGATGAAAAAGAAAATGAGACAAAAAGACAAAAATTTTATTTTAAATGAGATTTCAGGGTTTTTTTCTTTCTAAGCAGGTTAGTATGAGACATTTGGAACATTGTCAGTGTTTCTTCTCCTAGAAGAACTTTAAGGGAAATCAGTGCAATCTGTGAAACACTTTTGCTTTACTAGAATGATATTTTTAGATGGTAATTTTCCTAAAAATACTTTCCTGGCCACTCCTTCTTCCTTGGCCAATTGTAAGTGGTAAATCTAGAGCCTCCATTTAGAACACTGACTTATAGTCACTGAGACAAATGAGACAAATTAGAGCTGACCAGGAGAATTCTCCTCTATCTGTTCAGAGAATATTCTTTTTCAGGCTTGATGGCTCCTATTTTTTAAAGGTCTCAAGTAAAATATTTTCCAACTGCTAACTTTGTACAAAGTGTAAATTATCACTGAACCTGTCACTAAATCTGACTGCAATGTCAAATACTTTTTCTACTGTGTAATTATCCCAGGGTTTTTAACAAGTGGCTCTAGTTTTTAGAGGTAATATAAATGTCAAATTGTATTTATGAAACACCAACCTACGTTTTTTTACATAACAGATTTAGTGAGAGGCATAACAGAAATAGTTCCATATATTGTCAATGCCTTTCTAATTATTGCCCATGATTGAACCTTTGGATTAGTGTTATTAGTGTAACTGAAATAGAATTTAAATATAACAGAATGATTTTACTTTTATTTTAGAGCTTAGGATAATGAACTGACATATCAAATACAGACTAATAAGTCAATACAAATAAAGCAATTTATTAACTTGATAGAATATGCACATCCTAGTCCAATATTTCTATTTATCTTAAATGTTTGGTCATCAATTTTACTTTTTTAATGGAAAATACTAATTTTCTCAGTTTTCCATAGCTGTTCCTCCTATAAGCATGCTGTCTTCCTGTTGGTAGATATGAGAGGAAAGAGATTTACAGGAGCTGGCTTATGTGGGTGTCACCTGACCTTCAAGAAAGTTCTGTGTTCACATATCTGCTGCTGTCAGACAAAACACAGAAAGGCATTGTTTTTCTGCCAAATAGGACCAAGATTTGTGTCCCATGCCTGTTATATGTAGTTTCTGGTTGCTCTGTTCAATAAAAATATTTAAAATTCCAAAACCAGGCTGAGAAGAAACAGTGTCACAAAAAATGGCATCCACAATCTGGGCTCTGTGGGCTTCCACATCTTTAAATTGTGTGTTTTTTTAGATTTGCCAATAATTTTTCACTGCTTGGCACAGGGATGTAAAAGATGTTTGTATTGATGATTGAATTAATCAGGGGGAGTTGTTTGTGCTTGGCAGTTTTCCATAGCTGAATGGAGGTGTAAATATACATATACACACATGTAGAATCCTTAGGGGTGGAAAAGACCTCTAAGATTACCAAGTGCAGTCAGCACCACCATCATTTATACCATTAAACCACATCCATAAATGCCACATCCAAGGTATTATTGAACACTTCCAGGGATAATGATTCCACCACTTTTCTGGGCAACATGTCCCTATGCCTGAAAACCCTTTTAGTGAAGAAATATTTTTTAATATCCAATCTAAACCTCTACAATTACTGTATATTTATGCATATGTTTTTTTTTTTAATGTATATACTATAAATATTTATAAAAATATTCTTAGTCAACTCAAATGCAGAATTTTTTCATTTTGTTGTTGGTGGAGGTGGTGATTAGTTGTTTTTTTCCTCATGAAATGTCATCATTAAAAGTTTTTAATTTTCAGTCATCTGGATTCTTTTTTTCTCTTTAAATTGCATGTAATTTCTGTCATAAGAATGGCTCAAAAGACATTCTTTGCCTCTTCAGTCTTCTCTGAGTGTTCATTTTAATGTATTTTCATGATAAACTCTTTAGGACAAAAATAATTTCTGATGTGCAAGCAGTTTCAGAAAATAGAATAATAAACTTGTCCTTCTTCCAACATTGCTCAAGCACTTTCACAAATGAAGTGGAAGCACTAAAGTTTTAGCTCAAGACACAACTATAATTTAATTTCCAACCATCAAATAACAGGAAATCTCCTATCTTACAAAACAGCATCCAAAGTAGAGAGTAAGCCTAGGTCCTTGAGTTTGAAGCCAGAATGAAATCTCATATTAGGTAATCAAAATGGGTTTGCAGACAAATGGAAAGATGCTGTGAACTCAGAAACTACATTTATCTTGGGGTGCTGAGATTTATCCCTCAGTTTCAAGCAGTTCTGTAAATCTTTCCCAGAAGCAGGAAAGGTAGGGTAGCTCTCTCTGCTACTGGAAAACGGTTGGAAACTGCAAAACTTGTCTATTTAGTCTGGAATGGCTTTTTAGTATATTAAAATTCTTGACGAGCAATTTGAATCTGAATTGTGAAATGTGTTAAGAGTTAGATTAAACATAAAGGCTCTCATTTACCAACTGTTAGTGCTATTGTTGAACACTGCACGTAGTTAGCACAGCTCATGGAATTGCTTCAATACAAAACAAATACAAGCTCCTTAATGTGCATTACAAAGCATAAAATTAAGTTGGTGCCTTTTGATATTAGATAGACATAGAACACAGGTATTGAATATGTACAAATTATTCTCTGCATTTGAATAATGAATTGACTTGAACCTTATTTGACTAAACTGTTGGCTTTTTGAAAGTAATTTTCCTTTCTTTTATTATAAAGGAAAAGTACATTTATAAAGCAATACAGTCTAATTACAGGAGGAATCTGTTGACTGATAAGAGCATTGCACAGGGAACCTATTAATTTAAAAGGTTGATTTACTTAAATGTATTCAACAGGGATATTGCAAAAATGCTTAGTTTGTTTGGGCTTGTTGATATCGAAGGCTATTTTACTTGGCTGGGTAAATCTAGCAGAAGACCAGCTTAGAGGATAGATGGACAAAGGTCAGTGGTGGTCCAGTGTTGGGGTACAGCTTTGCACATCATGATCAAAAGTGAACTGAAGCCTTTACATTTCCAAAACACTAGGCAGTAGTTTTTAACTCCCATTTTTCTAGGTTTTTCTTTATGTGATCATCAAGTGTGAGGTCACCCTGCCCTTGGCTGGGGGTTTGGAACTAAATGATCTTTAAGGTCCCTACCAATCCAAACTATTCTATGACTCTATGATTGATGATGACCACAGTAAAAAGGGAAATGGAGGAATTAGGTCTATATGCTTAGGGTTCTTCATGAGAAAAGATCTTCAGAGTTCTATAGATGGAGAGAGTTTATGACCTTTGGAACAAGTTGCAGGAAACTCAGGAGGACTACAAGGGTGTTGTAAGGTTATGCAGGGAGAAAAATAGAATAGACAAAACTTAATTTAGCTACTGCCTGAAAAATACGAAATATTTGTATAAATACATTCAGAACAAAAGGAGGGCTAAAGCAACTTTTTCATCTATTTTGCCCTAATGATGTTGGCACAATGGAAAAAATTGTTTGTGTCAATACTATTGGCTTCTGTGTTGTCATCCATCTTTGCTATCAGAGTACCTTTAGGTCCGAAGTCTTGAAGTGAAATTTTTCAGGAATTCACGTCCTCCCAAAATTTTCAGAAATGGAAAAGGGAAAAAGACAGAGATGCAGTCTACCACTACAGACAGAGGCATTCTTGGAAAAGGAAATTCATGCAGATTCATTTTACAATCAGCATAGAAGAATCTGTCTACCTGCAAATTAATGAGATTAAAATAGCAGTAGGCCAAAGGAATTAGTTCAAAAGGTCATGAGAATCTTTACAAAGGAAACCAGCATGTACTTTTACAATGGATAGTTCAAACCCAGAGCAGCCATCAGGCTTTGTGCAAGGTGGGATTTTCATCTTCAGTATTGTTTTTTGGTTTACTGAGAAGTTTGCCTTAACCCGAAGTAAACCAATATTTGTCATCCCGAGTCAAGAAAGCAGGAAAGCTGAGCACTTTGTAGCTGTTTAACGGGTCATAGCCACTGTTTTTCCTGAGAGATGGTTTTGCAGCAGTGTTTTCCCTTAGAACAGCCCGTGATATATTTGTTACCAAACTCGATTTGTTAGTGTTGTAGTCTGAATCTGTGTTTCAAGGTATTGGCAAGGAAATAGGGAATCAGCTGAATATATGCACAGATGAGGCAATTAAAATAGCAAATGTAAAAGGTCTGCAATCTTTAGACCTTCCCAAAAGAAGACATTTCTTGACATTTCTCAGCTTACTGAAGAGTGATGGATAAGCTGATTTAGCTGCAGCAGTTTATAAAGGCATCATCTGATAGATGCCTGCCCTGTGGGGTCCCTGCAGATGAAGATGCACAGACCTTAGTTCACATTAGTTTAAACTGTCCCTGAGGTGGGTTTAATAATCTCTGTAATGTCTTGCTCCGTATCCTGTACGTGTGTGACAACTTTGAGAGGAAGCAGAAGCAATCCTGTGAGAGCAGTAATATCTTTAAGTCACTGAAGAACCAGAAATTTGGAGCTTGTCACCTTTTTTCTGTCACGCTCACTTTCCACCTCGACAAAAAGATTTTTCAAATTAGGGTGGATGGTCCCATTAAACAACAGGGTTTCAAAGCCAGTTGCCATTTAATAGAATTCAATCAAAATGCTTAATAATATGTTCTCTTACTCGTGCACAGCCCTACCCGGTCTCTGCAGAGCAGTTCCTCTCATGCAATGGCATTCTCAAAGCACAGCTTCTTTCTCTAGCACAGCTTCCCTCCCCAGAGAGCTGGGACAGAAAAAGCAAAGAGAGTTTGGAGCAATCCTTTCATGTCTCTATTCACATAGGTATACAATCCACATCTTACAGTAATTTGAAGAAAGTTTACATTGCAATGGAGAGAAATGCTGGAGAAAACTTTACTTACCTGTTGTGGTTGTACTCAGTGCTCCTAATTCTTTGTCTGCAGTTTAGAATATGTGGTCAATTATCCAGTGTAAATCAGCTGAGGATAAATTTGAAAAAGCACCACAAGATAGGAAGACAAATGCTAAAGAATTCAAAACTGGACTAATTGAGTAATATTTTAAACATTAATTCATGCAAGTTTTAAGCCCACCTGCAGGTGCATTTTTCTATTACTTTTTGTATTTAGACTATAATCTATGCCAAGGAATGGCTGAAAATAGACCTATTAAAGTGTAGTCATGCACAACACTACGTCATAGCATTCATATAAACTACGAAATTAACTCACTTTCTTCTTCTTCTCAGTGGTGTAGCATTTAAATACCAGACTATTTTTTTTTCTAAAAAAAATCAGCAGTGAAAAATAAAGGAGGGCATATTTTCACGAAATTGTGGCATTGTACACAAATCCAAGTCCAATTTTCTATTGTTTTGAGCAGCATTTCTTTATGCTCCCTTTCTTCTTTTGGCCATGGTGAGAGTAAAAAATATTCGTGCTGAGACTGGAGATTTTGAAACCTTTGAAGAACAGCCAACACTGTCAATTATCATCAACTGTTTCTCTGCAGGTCTAGAGAGCAGTTCTCTTTGTGCCTACCACAGATTTTGAGTTAAGTCCTTGAAAATTGGCATGGGAAACTGAGGGAAACATCCTGGCTCAGGCCAAGATTTGTGAAATACAGGTTTTAGGGAAGTCAAAGGGAGAAAAACACAGGAGATGTGCTGGCATGTGGTTCTTCTCTGTTGCTCCTGAAGATGTGCAGATTTTGGGACTGTCCAAAGGCAGTAAGCAGTCAGGCCTGTAGGAATTATATTCCTACCCCAGCAGTGATAAGCAAATTTCCCATGTTTCCCAAATCCAGGGATTAATAAATAGTTTTGCTTTAAATCTAAGCAGTTCAAATTTCAAATATCAGCATCTTTTGACAAAGTAAAAACTTCTGATTTATGGTGCCCTAATGAAAACTCAGCTTGCATTCTAAGTCTAAAAGTCTTGTTTGGGAAATATTTGTGGTAAACATGCTGTGATCTGTCCTGTTGCATTCTTCCACAAGGGATACACTAACACAGACATTGACCCTGGAGTACAGAGTAGCTCATAATTGCTGATGGGATAGCAATTCCATCTGCATTTGTTCACTAACACAGATAACAAAGCACACCATGGTACCATCAAGCTGTAACCTTTGCAGGAGGCAATAAGGAGGGAAAAGGAAAGTGAATGTAGACATCTTTGTAGTTCTTTCCACCCCTCCTCCTCCAGCAGAGAGGGTGTTTTTCACACAGGACTCTGTGTTGTGGGAAGAGACACTGGCTCCACAGGGGGACATGTGGGATGGACAGAGGTCGATTTCTCTGTTGGACTGTTTGGTCTGAGGGTCTTCTCATGTGACAGCCTTGCTGAGACCTAATAGTTTTGTTATGGTTTGGGCAAAATGAACACGTAGAATGAGATACTATTGGATTACACATCTAGCTAGTTGGCTGGCTGGGAGGTTGGGATGGTTGAAATCTCTCCTTGGTGCCATCTGCTTGATTAGAATTGAAGAATCATGGAATGGCTTGGGTTGGAAGGGACCTGAAATACCATCTAGTTCAAATCCTCTTCCATGGGCAGAGACACCTTCCACTAGACCAGGTTACTCCAAACCCCATCCAGCCTGGCACTGAACAGCCTCAGGGATGAGGCAGGCACAGCTTCTCTGGAAAACCTGTGCCAGGGCCTCACTACCCTCATAATAAAGAGTTTTGTTCCTAATCTCCTGTCTAAACCCACACTTTTCTAGTTTAAAGCCATTACCTTGTCCTATCACAGCATACTTTTCTAAAAAGAAATTAATGTCCTCAATTGGGTTTTTGTGGAAACCTGTCACAGAAATGGAGACAATGAATTTCAATTTCTCTACTTATTTTCTTGATACTGTTGCTACACAGGGCAGCTTTTACGTCCCATCTGAAAACTGCATGCAGCATGCATACAAGTGGCATAAGGATCTCTGTCTTCTGCTCCTGAATGCTCAAAGGGGTCTTCACACGTACTACACCCTCTTAATGAATGAGATTCCTGATTTACCTCAGCTGAAGTTGGGTAAGTGAAAAGTCATTTAAAATCACTGAATATTTTGCAGTGCTGCATTTTTAAACACATATTTTAGTACCAAAATTCTTGGTCTGTTCAGAGACTTTAAGGGATTTTCATCTGTGTTTTCTGATTAGTGTTTATTTTTGCTGCTAAAGATGACTGACTCCTCAGATTATGTGAATCCTTTCATAAGGTGTGGCCTGATGTGTAGATGGATAAAATATTTTGATACATTTCTCAGAAATATTTGCCTTTTGGTGATTTTTGGCCTCAGCTGTATTTTGAAAAGTGTAAATTCTAGTTCTGCATTGTGGGAATCTAGGGCTTCCCTCTGGCTGCCCTGGAGGGCCTGGGACCCTGGCAGGGGTCAGGAACCCCCCTGGACAGAGCCCCCAGAGACACTGTCTGTGATCTCTGTCCATGGAAAAGAGTTTTCAATCTTACAGGATGAATTACAAGCTCGGAGTGTTTGATATGAGTAATAATTAAGTGTGGCACGGGTGCAAAAGTAAAATTTTAGGATTCTAGATTAGGGGTTCAAAGGGAACAAGATGGAGGAAATTGGGTGTGTCTTGTCCTTTTCCTCCTTCTTCATGCCCTCCATGTTTCACTGTAGTGTTGGCATTTTTTCTGTTGGTTTAGGCTGGGGACACACTGTTCAACGTAGGTGACAGATATTGGCATGTTATTGTAAATCCAGCACAGGTAGTTTCTGGTATATAATGTTTGTAACATCCCACTGAGGGCAGAGCCCCACACACTGCCCTGCAGGACAGACCTGCGGCAGGGCAGCAGAACATGTTAGAGATAAACAGAATAAACAACCTTGAAAACAGCACAGACGAATTATGGCTTCTTCTTTGGCAACGGGGCAGAAAGACAGAGACTTTTTACAATCTCGGAATCATCAATACCTCAGAGTCCAACACTGCATGGCCATGAAATCTTGGGAAAACAACATATTTTTTTCTCTTGAGCAAACATATTTTTATAATTGAAAAGAAAAACCTGAAAGGTGATACAAGTGGGATTAAATTATACTCCCTTCTTTGTAACTCACAATATATTCCTCCACTGTCAATTACTACTTGCTCTTCAAAATTATTCTGATTTTCTTCCTAATTTAATTGTTTAATAGATTTTCTGGTTTTTTGGCAGAAGGATTTTTTGTCTGGTCAGGCCTGTTAGGTCTAATGTGCAAGTGGTGGCTGGCTGGATTTACAGGATGGAGTTCTGGAATTTGTGTTTAGTCATCTTTGTAATGACAGCATGAGTTCCTATGAGAATGAGACTCCATCATCTCATTCAAATCCTGCTCTCTCACCTGTTTCTTTGAATTCAAGGAATGTGCCTCATAATTTCACATCTGGATTTTTGTATTTCTGTGGTGCGCAGGTTTTGAAGTTATCAGTTTTGTTATGCTGCAGAGATAATTACATTAGGAGGGTCGATTGCATTGGCCAGTACTTTTTAAAAGGGAGTAAAATTTTCCACTATAGTCCTTGTATATAAGAACTATCAAACACAATGAATTATGCTTCACACACTCCTAGACTTGATAGATCCTATTTTCCCTTCATCTCTTTTTCCCCAACATGTATTTCCCTTCAAGACAGTCTAAAAGTCTTAGGTAGGTAACATAGTGTCTGATTCGATCCAATCACAAGAGGGAAAAAAAAAAAAAAAACCAAAATAAAGCAGCATTTTAATTTGTAGCTTATGAGCTCTCAGACAGAACACAAGCAACAAAACTGTTCAATGGATCTGGATTATAGTTATAGAGAACAGAGGATTTGTGGTTCATCCAGACAGGGTTATAGGTTGTGACATGGCAAAGCCCTGCATGGATGAGTGACCACAACTCCATGACCACCCCAGAGCACATGCTTATGTTCTAAACACAATTTTCCTGTCTTTGAAATTAATTCTGGCACTGAAGCAGACACTTCATTTGCAAATATACTTCTTGTAATGCATGAAAATTTGCAAAATGCAAATACCCTTTTTAGCCTCTTGATCAGAGTGTTATTTGCATCACTTTATTCACAGTCTGAAAATCTACTAAAGATTTGGTTTATAGGCTGATCTTCTGACACCTGTTGCACAAGTCACTAAAATTAGGGGGTGTAAGATCCATGCAGTAAGATGAATATAAATCAAATTTTTATATCTGTCTCCTTACATTCATTGGGGTGAAACGGACCCAATTAAAAATATGTTCTCTGAAACAGGTAGGGCTTTCTAATTTGGGATGGCACAAACTGCACTTTATATTTGCTATATTTCTCCACTGAGCAGGGGAAGAATGTAAATGGCTCATTCAGTTGTAATATCTATACTGGTCATATTAATCTCATAGGTTTTTATAGAAGCTTAAGATAAATCAAAGAATATAAATATCTGCTCATTTCCTTAATAATTTTTCCCCTAGCTTCCTGAGTAGTATATGTAAAAAGAAAGTAGCCTACTTTAAACATTAAGAGTGGGAATGGTTATTTCCCAAATTTTACCAGCTCAGATTGGGTCTTTTCAAGGCACAACTCATCTTGGTCTGTCGTTTCCCATTTATCAGAGCCATCTGAGAAGAGACATTTGGGAATTGAGGAGGGCATTGGTCTGTGAGTTGTTTTGCTTTGTTCCTGCTTTGTTTCTTTATGGACACCATTAGAAAGTTCCGCATTGCCAAATGATGCTGCTAAAGTTGGAGAATTGATTGATGTCCTCCTTTTCCTGATAGATTGTGGTGCATTTAAAGCAGAGTGTCCCTGTGCTGGATTCTCTCAGGATTAAATCAAAACACTGCTGCTTGCAGTGGTGAGGTAATTCCAACTTCACAAGGCAGTACAGAGATGTCCAATATTTTACTGGTCAGGAATTTGATGTTGAAACACTGTCCTCTGTAGAACACCAGGGGCAACCATTCCTTCCTCATCATTTGCTCAGACTCTGTATTCAGTTCTGCAGTTGGCCATAAATACCAAAGGCTAAAAATCAAACTTCTGGTAAAAGAGTCAACAAAGAGTCAAATAATGTTGTCTTTGTCACCAAAAAAATGAATATTTTCTACTGGTTTAGTGGTCCAGATTGCACAAGCAGAAGTTGCACCTGCATGAGTACAAAGTGGGTTGTGGAGTGCCCACACCCAAACAGAAACTTGTCTGAATACCAAATGGCCGATTTTTCTCATTAATAAACAGCAGGAGTTTCGTGTTTCATATCCACTGTTCTCAAACCTGATGTCTTTCTTTGTGTTTTTTTCCCCAGAGGAGCTATCTGTGGAAGAGACAGTATCCCAGCTTTGCATGGAGCTCCAGGTATTTCCTCCTTCAGAACCTGCCCACAGATTTTTCAAATCCATTTTTCAAGTGCACTGAGACAGCCCAGTAATACATCAGAGCAGGGAAAAGGGGAATTTGGTGCTATCAGAAAGTTTGCTTACTGTTTCTCTTCCACCAAATATTTTGCATTACTTTGATTAGTTGCTTATAAGGTGTTCCTGTCACTTTTAACAAGCCACAAGCTGGATTATTCTAGCACGCTTCAGTGAGCCTACCCTGAGTATCAGGATGACAAAAGAAATTATTTGGGGTAGGTTGCAATTATAGTTTTTCTGCTGACAGGAGAAAAAGTACTTTGGCAGGTTGTTCAACCATATATTTTCAAATAAAAATACCTAAATGTGTTTGGAGGATCATGGGAGCAAAAAAGTGATTTTGGCACAGAAGTGACTGAACTACTCTCTTGAACTTGCTTCTGCCAAATTTATTTCAAGTGAGACAAAGACGAGTCATCAAGAGTGCCAGGAAGAAATGCAAGTGCCAGCTGATCACCGGAAAAATTAGAGATTTCTTATATCTTATTTGTCATAGGATCATAGAATCATTAGGTTTGGAAAAAATCTCCAAGATCATCAAGTCCATCCCTTGACCCAATATCACCATGACCAGTAAACCATATAAATAATGTGCCACCTGCTCATTTTTTGAACAATTCCAGGGTTGGTGATTCCACCACTTCCCTGGAGAAGTGAATTTGGTAACAATTAATGGAGGGAAGATGAGTCTGAAACCAAATGAGAAGTCAATTTACATTCCTTTTACAAATTGTGACCTAAGGTTTGTCAGGCATGGTTTTAAAACTGTTTCAAATGACAAATTGATTAGTTTTAAGTCCTGACTTGGATACTTTGAAGGAAATCTGATTTAGAGAAGCATAACTTACTGGGCTCATCTCTACTAGATTTAGAAGTTGTAAGGGTATAGGACAGACAACACAGTCTAGAGTCTCCTTTGGACTAATTTTCAGTCCAGTAAGACACTCACAATTAGAAATCCTCCCTTCCCTCCTTCCTTCCTTCCTTCCTTCCTTCCTTCCTTCCTTCCTTCCTTCCTTCCTTCCTTCCTTCCTTCCTTCCTTCCTTCCTTCCTTCCTTCCTTCCTTCCTTCCTTCCTTCCTTCCTTCCTTCCTTCCTTCCTTCCTTCCTTCCTTCCTTCCTTCCTTCCTTCCTTCCTTCCTTCCTTCCTTCCTTCCTTCCTTCCTTCCTTCCTTCCTTCCTTCCTTCCTTCCTTCCTTCCTTCCTTCCTTCCTTCCTTCCTTCCTTCCTTCCTTCCTTCCTTCCTTCCTTCCTTCCTTCCTTCCTTCCTTCCCTCCTTCCTTCCCTCCTTCCTTCCCTCCTTCCTTCCCTCCTTCCTTCCCTCCTTCCTTTCTTCCTCCTTCCCTCCCCCTAAGATGACTTCCATTAATAATGCATCTTGCTTGAAGACTGAGCTTTCAGTTTATGATGTAAGAAACAGCTTCATAACTTAACAGATTAAAAATTAACATTGACATATAGCCTATAAAATTGGATGCCAAAATAAAGTAATATCCTGACTCTGCAAAGGGAAATGTTGGAGCAGGATCTTTTGTTTCCCAGTATCCCCCTGATTTTTCCTGTACCAGAATGGGTCCTGGAGCTTCTGCCATTTTGGACAAGTCATTAATACAGGGAAGCATCCAAACAATGTAAACCCAGTGACAATATCTGTTTTATCCACACACAATTTTTCTCTGCCGCTCTCACACACAGACAATTTGTTTTTAATCATGGCTTAGTTTGCAGTGTCACCAGCCTGGAAACTACCTGCATAATAAAATGTGAAAAATAAGCAGGCTTTCAGCTAGAGTGCAGTCTTAAAAAAAAATGACCCAGTGAATAACGTGGAAGTAAAATGCAATGTCTGTCTCTCATTAAAGAAATTAACAAGTTGACAAGTTAAGAGAACTGAGTTTTTTCAGCCTGGAGAAGACTCCAGGGAGAGCATTTAACACCTTCTAGTACCTAAGAAGGCTACAGGAGAGCTGGAGAGGGATGTTTTACAGGGGTATGCAGTGCTAGGACAAGTGGGCATTGTGTTAAACTGACAGAGGGCAGGTTTAGATCAGACATAAGGTAAAATCCTTTATTGTGAGACTGGTGAGACACAGGCACAGGTTGCCCAGAGAAGCTGTGGATGCCCCATCTGTGGAAGTGTTAAAGGCCAGGTTGGATGGGGCTCTGAGCAACCTGGGATAGTGGAAGGTGTCTCTTCACATGGCAGGGAGTTGGAAGATCTTTACCCCACCCCATTCTACAATTCTATGACTCTATGAAATTGTGAAATGAGGAAGTTTAGTGTGCAGAGACTTTGCTTTCTTGCAGAGCTTTGGCACAGATCTGGAGAGCACACAGAGAGCCGACATGTTCTAGTGTGGGCCATGAGCAACAGCACACTCTGGAATGTCTGTTTTCATCATGTGTTGAGGACACAGTGTTTTGGTTTGCGGATTCTTGTTCAGTTCCCCCTCAATCACCCATCTGTATTCTAATGTGACATGGCTGACAGGGCTCCTTTGCTAACAGAATCTGGCCATGGTTTAATATTTCAGAGCATCCAGCACCATCTGGTGGATAATTTGGAACCCACACTCTTTGTTTGTTTGTTTTTTTTTTTTTTTTTTCCCAGTTACTACACCTGCAGTTAAGTATCTGCAAAAAATTATCTGTTCCCACTTCTTACTATCTAAGTGCGTAGGTGAGACCATTTGCACTAAAATATGCGATTTTAAAGAGAAAAATAAACTGTCTCACCAGCTTTAATTGGGGTAAAATAACTGAAAATAGCTTTAGTAATAATATTCCTAAATCAAGAGAAATTTTTGTTGCTGCTGTTGTTCCTAAAAGGACTTAATCTGATGTATGAACTGATTCTTTTCCAAAACATTCTTGATCTCATAATTTCCTTTCTGTCTTTCAGCTGCTGAGCAATCCAGAGAAGATAGCAGAACAGATAAGCAAGGACCTTGCCTGGCTTTGCTCTCACCTCCTGGCCTTGTGGACCCAGTTCCTAGAGGTGGCAACGCTCCATCCAGAAATCACAGCTTATCTGACTCAGGAACATCACATGCTAAGGGTAATCTTAAGAAGTTAAAAGCAAGTCCAGTAATGGTCACCTCCTGATAAACATTAGGGATTTATTTAGATGTGTATTTCCAATCCAATTCTGCCTCTATGACTATTTACATGAAATGGGGTGAGCACAGCAAGAGTTGAAGAGGAGGGGAAGAAGAGGTGAAGCCCAGGATTTGAAATTACAGATTTCAGTTTCTGGAATGAAGATGATTGAGTTTGTGTGACCCAGGATCTTACATAAAATGAGTAACTTTGAACACCAGGATCAGACATAGAACAGGAGGTGGGTGGGAAGAGATAAATGTCACCTATACCTGACAGATACCTGTAAATCATAACACTAATTTAAAAAAACCCAAACATCACACTGAAAAATAAAAAAATACAATTTCATTTCAACTGGTTTCACAAAACTACCATAAGGAATATGGATTTGTTTTCTTCACTGTCATACATATAGCTATTTGCCTTTCTCACAATGAAGTGCATCCAACAAAGTATTAATATTGTTGATGTTGAAATTGCTTCTTGTACTTGGTAATAAAGAAGGCACAAAACCACTTGTCATTTGAGCGAATGTTGTCAGATCTGCTTATCTGATTTGTTCAGCAAGCGTTCTGTCTTCCATCAGGACGTTCTTGGTTATTGACCAGACACCAGCTCAGCACATCACCTGAGCTGAACTCAAAGTCTGATCTAATCATTAGAGCAGGGACAGTGGAGAAAAAGGCAGGATTCACCTTGCATGCATTAGGAGTGTGCAGTGTGGGTATTGACACCTCAGTTTATGTTCTGCTCCTATCAAAGTCAGTGGAGGTCAGAGTGACCAGAATGACCTGGAGCTTGCAAAAATGGGGCATAAAATTCAGGAAGGGGGGGCTGAGTGCCTGATGCTGAAACTCCTCTGGTCAGTCTGTGAGATCTCCCTTGACTCTGAGGGGTCCTGGGGGCTTTCAGTCAAAGAACCCAGCTTTGTGTGCTCCCAGCTCCAGCAAGGTGAATCTCAGCCCCTGAGATTGTTCCAGCCTTGACTGATGCCAGCTGTCTTCTTGAGCTTTGTCAAATTGCATAAGTTTGTATGCTCTGGTTCCTCCCCATATAAAATGTGTAATTACAGTTTTTCACCTCTGGAAAATGGTTTGGGAGCCCTAAATGAAAAGTCCTACTGTTAACACACAGTCTTTTTGAAGGGATGCTCATCCTTTGTTTTGCTCTGACATATGCTTTTCACTGCCACTTTCTGTCCCTGTAACAGAGGTCACTTTTACAATTATTATTAGGAATGTATGGGCTGCAGTTTAACAGCTCAGTACATTTGATTGCATATTATGCTTGATGCATTTAAACTCAAAGCTTATTTCAGGGCAGATGATAGCACTGAATTCTTAATAGCTTATTTTACACTCTGTGCTCTGCCAGCCACTTCAGATCCATGGCTCTTCTGTAATTGATTGTCCAACACTGAACATATCTAGTGCCCATGAAGGGATTTGAAGAGCTCTCAGTTTGTAAGTATCATGATATAGGCAGGTCTGTTTCTACTGTGATAGGGCTCATTCTCCTCTGGAATATGTTAAGATTTCCTTTGCTGTTGTGGTAGTTTGAGAGTCAGTGTGGATGTTCCCATAGAAGGGATGATCAATTATGAATTGTTCTAATTTAATAAATCAGTCCACTACTGTTTTGCACAGTGGGAAAGGAATAAATCTTCCCAACTTTAAAAATACAGGGGAAAATGGTAAACTTGACAGCTTTTAGAAAAGTAGTTAGAAGATGCAGATACCCAAACTTTGATTTATTGCCAAGGGAGTCTTTTTACCTTGCAGCAAAATATGCTAGAATAACAGCTTCTTTGTGCTGGGCTGGGAAAACGAAGCAGAATTGGACTCTTTTTTAATGTCAACACTAAGGAATCTGGTCCTGATAGTCAGTGCTATGTTCTCAGACTAATGACACTTGTCAACTTTTAGCAGATCTTAGGTTTAATTTATGCATCTCTCTCTCTCTCTCAGGTGAGAAGATTCTCAGAAGCCTTCTTCTACACTGAGCACCAGAAACCTGCTGTGCTCATGTTCCAGGAAGGCCTGTAAGTAACCCATTAACACTCCTCTATCTCTGGAATTACTAAAAATGTACTTTAACATATTTTGCAATGAAGATCAAGATCTTTTTCTGCAGGGTATGAAGGAATTTGGCTTGAGAGAGGTCACTGGCTCTGTTTTAGCTCCGTATTGTAAACCTATTGAAATGAGTTTCAAAAGTAAGTGACTGATCAGGCTGGCCCCAGAAAGAATTAATTTCAAGCTACATGTATACATACATCCAGCACTGGTACTTTCGGTGGGAAATAATTATTGAAAAGCAACAAATCTTAACATTTACAAATTTGCTTTTTACCATCCCTAAACCATACCATAGTAAGTATTTCTGCTGGACAGTTTCTGCTTGTAACCAAACTGTGGAGTGTGAGGAGCCAGTCTTAAAGCTCTGCCAGGGCAAATCCTGCCCTTGGTTTTAGCCCATGAACCCAAGTGGAGGACTTGGATAATACTCAGGACCTGACCCCTGGAGGCAGAGTTCAAAATAGGATGCTCAGATTTGAATTTCTGAGTGATGATGGTTATCCAGACTACTTGTCACCATGGGCAGACTACAATATTACCAGTGTGAAAGCCATCCTTTAGAAGGGGCTGAAAGGCCATGACATCAGGTCCTGTCACAATGATGATTTTTAAGTGAGACATTTGCTTCTGACCCAGTGCAGAGGAGAAAATTGCTTTTCTCAGAGCTGTCACTGGGGACATTAGGGCCAATTCAGTGTTGATGGAAAGGGCCCTGCCTTCATTAGTGGATGGTTTGTAAAGGCTGCCTTGTTCTGCCAAATTAGAGCAGCACCATCACTGCAGGGTTCCAGGTGTGTTCATTTGTTTCTCCCATGTCAGGATTTTAGGGAGCTGTGTACAAGGAAAACCCCATGTCAAGATCCTGGGGTAAGGACACACTCATGGCCTCATTCAAACATAATCCTGCACAGGGGAAAGCCTAATTGCATGAAGTGCTTCTATTTCTCCAAGGCACTCACAGGGGTAGCCCATTTCCTACAGATAAATATAACATCTGTGCAGAAAATCTGGTCTATACAGGCTGCATGGTAGAGACAAGTTTTCTTCCTGAATTTGCTAGATTATGTAGTTGGAAAAACAGTCTTGGCTGTCAGAGTATTACTGATATTGGGAGTGGTAGTAGAGATTACTGGTTGGGTTCACACAGTCACCAGCTGAGATCAGTGCTCAGTGTGCCAGGTGATGTACAACCACCTCAAGCAGCACATTTTTTTCTCCCCATTTTATTTTTCATTCTTATCAGCCAGTAGCTGTTTTTTCCTCCCATGCTGTTTTTGTTTTGGGTGAAGCTGTGCCTGTATGTACCTCACAGCATTTGACTGCTTAGGCAGAAGAGGACACACCATTCCCAGTAGGCTGGGTGTGGCTCAGGGTGGAGACCTCTAGCAGGTCACATACCCTCCTTAGATTTTACAGACAAAAATATTTCTCCTTGCTCACTTTAATATCACTTATTCATCTTTTTCACAAGGGTAGGTAATAATCAGATAAGGGATAATGGCTTTAAGATGAAGAACAGATTTGCTTTCAGCTGAAAGCAATCTTGAAAAATCAATGAAAATATTTTTGCCTTCCTCTTTGTGTTTCATGTTTCCTGCATTTTTTGAGACAGATATTTAAATAGGAAGGCCCATCAGAAATAAAAATTATTGTATTTATTGTAGTCAAACACATATTCATCTGCCAGTTTAGTGTCACATTCACTGAGGAGAGCCAGGTAGCATTCTGAGTGGCCTAAATTATGGAGACAGATGGGGGTCTACAAAAAAGCCAGAGATGGACGTTTTACAAGGACATGTAGCAATGGGACAAGGGGGAATGGCTTCTAACTGATAGAGAGAAGGTTTAGGTCAGGTATTAGAAAGATATTCTTTACTGTGAAGGTGGTGGGGCACTGGAATGGTTTATTCAGAAACTTTGTGGCTACCCCATCCCTGGAAGTGTTCAAGGCTGGGCTGAACAAACTGGTCTGGTGGAAGGTGTCCCTACCTACAGCAAGGGGGATAGAACTAAATGATCTTGAAGGTCCTTTGAACCCCAAACCTTCTATGATTCTGTGACTCTGTCAAGAGACAGTGGCTGAGTAATGTGCCTTAGCTCTTCCAGACTCGTACATGTGTGAGACAGCTCTCTGTGAGTGCTCTGAGGTCTGATATCGGTGAGACAGAGGACTTGCCAGGCATCCTTCTTGGCTTTGTTCCTCCCTGTACTGTTCAACCAAATTTTTCATTATTGCTTCCTGCATCTGGGTTTTGAAACCCTGGCCACAGCCAGGGTGACAGACCTCATTTCCTGACCAGAAACCAGCTGAAGGATCCAGTCTGAGCAAGCAGCCAAGACCATTCAGAGGACAGCAATGGGTTATGGCAGCCAACAGGAGCCTATGATAGTGAGATCTGGAATAATTTCAAAAACACTGAGATTTTTCAGGAAGGGATTCTGCAGGTTGTAGATATCCCTGAGAGATGGAAATCTTCTAACACTTCTGGGTACTCTACTGCTTCCCTTTAAACACATTGACTCTGTCCTCTGCCTGCATATCTGGGCTTGCAGGACTAATGGAGAAACAACAAAGTAGCTACTCAGGCACTCAATTTGTTTTGTACTTTGCTGCCAGGATCCAGAGCCACGCACAGATTTCTACAGAAATTCGAAATTCGGATTATTTCACCAGCATGCCCCCGCTGCCGGCAGAATGCCTGGACATCGATGGGGACTGGAACACACTCCCAGTTATCTTTGAAGATAGGTACACAGACATGCCTTGCAAAGGTGAGTGAAACTCCACAGGGCACAGCTTCATGAGACAGCTTGGACTGAGAGAGGTACTTCCCCAGCTCAGAATAAATGATCTCACATCCCTTGGGCTTTTGAACTCAGAAGAGAGTGTGACCCCCTAAGTAATACAGCTGAATTTTAGAGTTTTCCCTAACAGCAGAGTATTTCCTTCACATTTTTCATCTTTAAATTACTCTTTCTTTAAAAAAGAGCTGGAGGAAAAATCTAGAAAGAAAAACAGATCTTTTGGATATTTGCTATAGTACTAATTTAAACAAAAAGCACTACTGATATCCCTACTGTGACATCTAGTGGTAAGAATCTCAGAACAAAACCCCACGATTACAGTGTAAAGCCCCACACTTCCCTGAAAGGCAGCATTGCCTTCCAAAAAATATTTTGCCCTTTGAGTACCCAAATCAAAATTTTAATTAAGCAATTATTTAATTCCAGAGTTATTTAGTAAAACCTTACAGCCCTTACTACCTTTTTTCTTTTCATTCAACCTTTAAAAATACCAAGGAAGCAATATGTATTAATACTATAGATGTCCATAGTGTACTGAATGTAGCCTGTGGTACAAAATCTTCACTCTTCCACAGTTTTAATACTGCCTAAATTGTGACAATGCTCATTAAAGATATTTAAATAATTAAACTGAGTATTAAACTGATTCAAAGTAAGAGCTATTCTATTTGAACATTGAATGACACCAAGAATACAAAGAAGTATCCATTTTGTTTTACTTACCTTTTCTCTAAAAACTAGCAGTATAGGTACAGTTATACTGAGGGAAGTGTATTTTATTAATATTGTCTTCTTTGGACCAACTATAACTGCTCAGTCTGTGTAATTCTAGTTAAATGAATGCACTCTGGTATGTGCATTTGTAATATCCCTTTAATGCATATATAATTTTTTTAATGTAAAAGTATAGAATAACATTTTAGACTAAAATCCCTTTTCAAAATCTCCCAATTCTTTGGGGTGGTTTGTTGTGTTCTTACAGGTAATAATTCTTTCTCTTTCTTTCTTTCTTTATTTCTTTAGATCAGAATTTGGAAGTTTTCCCAGATTTTGAGTCTCCTGCAAATACTCAAATGGATGTAAAACTGGAAAATGAGGACTGTGCATCAGATGATGCCACTGCAGTAATGAAAGGAGGCTTTGAGAAAGATACTCCACTAATACACACAGACAGGATAAACAGGAATCCCTCATGCCCACACAGCAGTACTGAAGCTGCTGCTAAGGGTTTAAACCAGCACTCCACATCTCAGGTATGTACAATAAACAAAGAAGGCCAAAGGAAACCTGAAAATATTTTTGTTTCAAGAGAGGAAACTATTTCTGACTCAGAGCCAGGCAATACAGAACACATGTCAGAAGACTTTAAAACATCTGAGGAAGTTTTATTAAAAGATAATAGACTTGGGGCAGATGTTGTCTGTGGAGACATGGAACCCAGCAATAAGGACTCTCACAAACGTGAGCCCATGCTAATTGTCAGTGCTCAGCATGAGTGTGGAGCATGTGGAACTGATGGCTTGGAAGACAGCACTGAAATACATGAACTAGATGAATTTGGTCATCCTGAAACTAATTTCACGTCATCTGAGCTTGCACTGAATGAATTGACCACTCTTGGAAAACCAGAGGATGTAGACACCAAGGCTCATCTCCCTGTTTTGAAAGCTTTGCCTTCACACAGCTGCGAAGTGAAATCAGTCACAAAGGAGCAACGAAGTGAGGAGAGTGAAGACTTTACCCTGATGTCTGGGGTCATAAAAAGATCTTCCTCTATAATATCTGATTCAGGCATTGAAAGTGAACCAAGCTCGGTGGCATGGTCTGATGCTCGCAGCCGGGCCCTGGAGCTGCCCAGTGACCGAGAGATCCTGCACCACTTGGTCCGGAGGCACGCCATCCACCGAAATTCCCTGGAGGGTGGCCACACGGAAAGCAACACCAGCTTGCCCAGTGGTATCCAAGCATCGCTCACATCCATCAGCTCTTTGCCCTTTGAGGAGGAGGAGAGGGAAGTGGAGCTTACCAAACTGACAAAATCTGTCTCTGCCCCTCAGATCAGTAGCCCAGAAGAGCCCCCGGAGGAGGTGGATATATCAAAACACAGCGAAGCCACCTCAGGAGATTCAGATCACAACTTAAGAAGCTGCATGGAAACAGAGGATAAAGATGGAAAAATAATAATGGATTTTTCTGAGTGTCAAATGACCACTGAAAGTGGACAAATAGAACAGAGAAGACATCCCAATCTCCTCCTCAAGCACAGTAGCAGTAACACTGAGTTACAAGGGGATGAGGAGAAAGGTTTTCCAGACACTTGCTATAGTTTGGAAAATACAAGACCACCCATTTGTCCGAACCAGCTCCAAGTTAATGTCTCTGAGTGCCTGTCACTGGAGAGCAATGGTGAGTGCAGCTTAAAAACACCAAGGGCTTGTAATTACTTGGACAAAAATATAGATAAGGTTGATACATGCATTGAGGATCCAAAGGATAAACTTAATCCGGACAGTTTAAAAGTACAACAGGGCTGTAGAATTTCAGGAGAGGAGAGTTTTTCACAAAGCATAAAGGTGGTACCAGATTTTTGCTATCTTGTTACAGCTCCTTCAGACACCTCCACTGAATTTGGCTCACTCCGAGGAGAATGTGGCAGTTCTCTCGCTGATGAGAGCCCAGCAGTGTGTGCAGAACTGCAGGGCTTGCAAGAAATTGAGCTCAATGACTCGTCTGCCTCAGCAGAGCCTGCAGCAGGGTCCCACCAGGCTGAACATCCTCAGGAGCCCAACAGCCAAGAGAATAAACTCATAGTGAACGGCACTGGGTTTCCTTTGGCCGCGACAGAGGGAGTAGCCCTGGAAAGCAGAAAGGCTGCTGATGTGGTTAACATGTCCATCTCTTGCACAGCCACCTGTCTTCCCTTTTCTTCCGTGCTCAAAGAGACCCCTGCCGTGGCGGGCTCCTCGGCAAAGCAGGCTGCCTTCCCCATCACGCGCCAGCCGCTGGGCTCCTTTGGAGTTGTCTGTCCTAATTCAGATGAGATGGATGAAGAGACCAACGAAAGGATGCTGAAGTAAGAATAACTAATTACTTAATTGATGTAGTCATAATGCCAAGAGACCCTGACACAGTTCAGGACCTTAATGCACTAGGCATACAGGAAACTTGCATTTGAGACAGTTGCCTGAGGAATTTCAGTATAAATAGTCCAAACAGACAAATGGTTTGTAAAGAATGAATAATCTAAATAGACAGGAAGGATGAAAACACAGAGAGATCAAGTTTGCCAAAGACATCAGGTCCTTAATTCTCATGACAAACAGTGTCATTTAGGTATCTAAATAGTCTTTGAGAGCTGACCCTCCTTTCTGAAATCAAGGTTACCTGTACCAGAGTATTGATCCCTGATAGTCAGTTCACTGTGGCAGTGGCACAAACTGGTTTACTCCTCTGCTTTAATAATTCCATTTAGTAATTAAACTATTAAATGGGGAATTCAGATTAGTTGGTATGTCTCAACTTTACCTTCTCAAACTGGAAGAATAGCAGAATTGAGGCCATGGATAGCTGGAGAAGAGGATTATTTTTGTTTCTTGCTTCATTGCCCAGCACAAAAGTGCCACATCGTGACCTCGACGTCACAGGGGCCCATTTCACAGATTGGTACACTAGCACTTATATTTTTCCAGGATAGTTTGGTGCCTCTGCTGTGCTGATGAAAAACAGTAACACTGAAATTTCTCAATCCATTCAACTGCCCAAAATGTTGCCTCTCTGCATATACATTCATTTTCAACTCAAGACTTTGTTGTTATTCTTTTGAAAGTGTCCTGAAGTTTTATACGGCATGCTTAAGTCCTGACAAATCTAAGCAAAAAATTTCTTTCTTTGTGAAATGAAACATTAGAACATGTATTCATGCACATGAATCCAAGGTTTCCAGATTCATGGCCCAAAAGCTATTTTTTTTAAATTCTTCTTAAAATTAGTTGGGCTGATGTAAGTAGTTGCTCATCATTGGACTTGAGTATCATAGAGGTCTTTTCCAATCTTAATGATTCTATGATTATATCAAGTTGCCTTAAGAGAGCCCCAAGCTTTAAAGGTTATATCTCCAAAGCTTGTCCTTCCCAATTTTCTACTTAATTCTACAGTTACATTGTGATAATTAATTCCTAAATTATCTGGTTAAGTTTTACTGATTCAAAAAGCAATTGAAGATTTTGGCATCTTCATGCAGCAGAATGCTTCAGGAATGAATTTGAGTGTCAAATTTTAGACCTTTAGTGGGAAATGTGTTATCTTAATTCTTTCAGCATTGAGATGTTCTTCTAAATTCTACTAAATTGTTTTCAAAAGAATCTAAAATCAAGTCAACCCCAAAATATCTGCCACATGAGGTGCTTCCCTTAACTCTATTGTAAGGAAGAGGGAGAACACCTTCTACCTGGTTATAAGTGCATCTGATGGTAGAAAAATCATACATTTTGGTTTTCAGTACCTATAAGGCCAATGACATTGTTAAGAGGCAGAACTGCTAATTCTGTACCTCAGTCTCATTTTATGAGGTACCAGAAAATTATTTTTTGCTGCTGTTGTATTCCTCTGGCAAGTGTGAGTTGCTAATGTACTTTAGTTCTTCCCTGTATGTAGACAAATTACAAAGAAACAGTTTATTCCCTTCATTCTGACTTCTCTCAGTCCTAATAGATAAGGAATTTCATCCAGGTCTCTACTTGCAAGTTGAAAACATAATTTCTTGCAAAGACAAGCCTCCTCATTTCTAATTTGAAGGTTTGTTGCTGACCACCCAGTTCTATTGTGATTAACTAATGTATTCTCCAGTTTTTATCAGGCCAAAGAAAAATTTAAAAAAGAAATGAAGATTGAAGGATTTCTGTACAGTGACTTATCTGTACTAGCTTCTGATATCCCATATTTTCCACCAGAGGAAGAGGAAGAAAATTTGGAAGATGGAATTCACCTGGTTGTCTGTGTCCATGGATTGGATGGTAAGGCCAGGAAGAATTGCTATTTGTAAGTCATTTCAGTGTAAATTACAAAAAAAGGGCAGATGTTCAGCAAGTATGAAAGAATTAAGAATTTAAGTATTTGTTTTACCTAAGTATTTATTCCTTATTATGCTATTCAGTCCGTTGTAATAAAGAATCTACGAGAATATTAAATATTGTTGCTTATATATGGGGCCCTACTGTCTGGTTTTGGTTTTTTGGTTTTTGTTGTTTTTTTTTAAACAGCAATCTACACCAAAGCTCATCAGTCCTCCTTTGTACAGGAAGAGTGCATTGCAGTAACTCCTTGTCTTTCCACAGATGCTTGGTTGTTTTGCAGTAGGTCCCCAGGAGGGAAATGTTATTTAAACCCCCAAAACACTGTTAAAGATTTGATAGTGGCTGACTTCATAAAGTGAGAGAATAAAAATCATTCTTCACCACAGAGGAAGCAAGTCTTGGGATTTTTCACATATAAGCTTTCTAAGCAGGAAAGAGTTATATTAAATGTGAACTTTCTCTTGGCAAATTATTGATATCTATTAAAAAGGTGTAGATGTTAACACTGAAACTATGGTAAGAAAGTAGTAGAGGCTCTGATATCTCAAAAAAAAAAAACCAAAACCAAAACAACAGAAAAAAAAAAAAAACCAACCCAAAACCAAACACTGGCTTGTGCCAGAATTGTTTTCTATTGAATATCTCACTAGCAGGAATGCCCTTCTCGTGAGGTAGTGGTACCTTCTTCACCAACAAAATATTTCAGAAGACATTGGAATTTCCTAGTACAGAATGAGGCATCTCTCAAAATATTAGGAGCTTGATAGTATTTTATTACCACCTCTAAGTGTGGATACATGAGATTGGCCACTCTGCATCTGAAGGTACATCCCTACAGCCCAGCACAGGTATTGAGGTGCCCCAGGGGGCCTCACCTGAGCTTGTTGTCTTTTTGTCTTACCTCTGCTGTTCAGCAAATAGAGGACAGATTTATTCTGGACCTGATCTTTGCCCTTTCCTACCCAATATTTATGGAGTCCCCCACAGCAGCAGGCCAGGTCCAGCCCACCTGTGCAGGCTGTGGGAATTCCTGTTCTCTTGCTGTTTCAATGCATGATCCTGAGGTATTATAATGTTTTTAGCAGCATTTAGCAAGAGCTCCATGGTGTCAAGGTTGTTGTGTTAAACTGACTCTGCTTTGGTTATTTTTCTGTTGAATTGCATCTTATAAAGTACCATTTTTTCCTAGGTAACAGTGCAGATCTGCGGCTGGTAAAGACTTTTATAGAACTGGGACTTCCTGGTGGAAAACTGGACTTCCTAATGTCTGAAAGAAATCAGGTAGTACAGAGCTAATTTCTGTCTTCCATTCTACTGCTGAAATAATGCCTTCAGCAAAAGCCTTTTCACCAGCTGGGTGAAAAGCACTGGGGAATTCAGGGAATTTTATGTAGTATTTAGTGCAAAGGCTTGGTTCCATTCCTGTCTAATTTGATAGGGTGTTCAAACCTATTGGAAAATATTCCTGGCATTGAAGTCAAAGGCAATGACATTAGCAGTAATAGGGCTAGACCTTAGAGGAAGAAAATGGATTTATCCTGCCAGTTTACAAACTTGGCAGCCTGGTGCCTCTGAAACAAAGCACCAACAGAAAGCTGCAAATTTAGTGATGCAAAATTCTTCAGAAGATGTGAAATATCCAGCAGGTATTGTCAGCTTCCTTTGCTGCATCAGCCATTGTTTCTCCTGTTGCAGTGTTTGTGGGATTTATTTCCTTGAATGATAAAGAAATGCCTTCCATAAAAATTGATTGCTGGTTTAGGCAGAGAAACAGAAATGAATCCTGTGCCTTGCTTGGCAGTGGAGCCATATTTACAACCAAAGGCCTAACTTTATGCACAAGATAAGGATTTCCATTGTGCAGTCAGAAACATTATTCTGATTTATGAGTACCTGAGAAACCTGAGTTAAAACTTTCTAACCTTGTTTGTTCAAAAGCTTTTATATTTTGAAGTGGCTGGTTGGTGTATGTCTGTGAACGTGCCACTTCCAACATCTCTGTCAGCAGCAGACCTGGACAGTGAATGTAAGTAAGGTGAAAATAGTCAGGAGACCACTTTACACTTCCATCAAGGCCTCTTCCGAAAGAAGAGAATGTTTTCAGAGAACGAAACATCTTACAACATCTGTATTCATCCAGAGACCATAATGGAAACTATTTAGAGATCTTATTGTCTGGGAAGGTGGGGAATTTCTCGCAGCACTGGAAGTGGAACCTGGGTGGCTTGATGGCTATTTTAATGTTGTAAAGCATCATATCACTGTTTTTCCCTTCTCTGAGGGCCACACTGATAATGACCCAAGAAATCAGTCATTTAGCTGGTTTGCTTTATAGAGGAAAATTCAAATCACTTTTTTAGGCATTCATTTGTGATGCATTTGACAAGTTCAGTCTGGATGAAATGATAGTAAAGAATGGAGATATAATCAGGTGAAATATGACACTTGATATATCTTGATTATGATTAACATTCAGGCTGATATTCTTGCACTTTTAAACAATCTGAGGTTTGGGATAATGAACTTAGGAGGAAATCATTAATTGTCAATGCAGACAAAACAAACAGGCAGAAGGTTGCTGGACTGTTTTTAGTTTATGAGAACATTTATTTTAAGTCTGTACTGCAAAGTGAATATCGACATATTTTCCTGTGCAAGAGCTGCAATTAGCAAGATGAGTTGTGTCACAAAAGCATTAATTACTCACATGTTTCAAAAATATTAATTATTCATATCTTTACTCTGAATAGCTGTTCCAACATTTGATGATTGTTTTGTGGCATCTCATTAGTTATGAGTTTGATTTAGAGTCCTCTTGGATTGCCAAATTACAAAGTTGTGAATAAGATCTGCCTGTAATTGTATGGACTGGAAATATATTGCTTGTTTTATTGTCTCACAACTGGCAGTACTGTTGCAAGCAACAAATTATTCGTCTGTCTCTAGCATTCATTCTCTTACTGATGACTGTTGAATAACAAACACACAGCATTTAAGATGGCCAAATAATTTTGTGATGACATCCTTAGCATCAGCATAACCCTCATGTCAACATATAATCCTGTAAAGTATTTTATTGCAGTAATCTGTTGAATCCTAAATACTAAAAGCTTTTCTTCCATGTGCAGACCTTGGTATCTAGAGCAGCTGAGCATTAGCTGTTCTCACCAGTGTCAAATCAGGCTGCTTTAGCAACATGCTTACGATTCTGGAATCGCTCGGCAACCACTCTCAAAGGAAAACTTCAATTTAAAAGAGGGCCTGCAGACTGAGAAAATTCTCCCTTCTTCCCCCTTGAAAATGTATAAAGAAAACTTACACTGATTATTACATTTCTGCTTGCATTTGACTTTAAAAATTACATCAGTCTGCAATAAGTGTAATCTATTTTAATTCATGAACTCACCTAATTTTTTAACAGACTGATACTTTTGCTGATTTTGATACAATGACTGACCGATTATTGGATGAAATTATTCAGCATATCCAGTTGTACAACCTCTCCATATCCCGAATAAGGTAAGCTTTATTAGATAGCAAGTAGTATGTAACTGTTTGAATTGCATGAGCAACATCCAGTGAAATTAGTTTTTCCTAAAGTGCCCTGTGTTAAAAGCCATTGAATCAGTGAGATTAATTTTTACATTCTTATAGATGAGAACAAAAGAGAAATATTCTTATGAAAGAGAATCTTGTAGGCTGAAAAAACCATTAAACGATAACTAAAGGATCTAATTGAAAGCCCTGACAGAGTCCTCCCTCCAGAGGCATTTGTGCCATCTTTATGTTTATGTTAAAGGAAACACAGATGGGTTTTGTATTAACGTAATTCTTTCATTCCCAACAGTTTTATTGGGCATTCCCTTGGTAACGTCATCATTCGATCTGTACTAACTCGCCCCAGGTTTCGCTATTACCTCAACAAATTACACACCTTCCTGTCTCTCTCTGGGCCTCACCTGGGAACCCTCTACAACAACAGCACTTTGGTTAGTACAGGTAAGAGTTGATGGGAAAGCTTTGGCTATCTGTGGTCCACAGAGTGCATGAGAGGACAACAAGCGGAGGTGGGAATTTATTGTGACATGATTTGTACCTTGAAGTTGGGGAAAATATTTGCTGAAGACTTCAAACCTTCAAACTTCAGAAAAACATTGCAATTTCAACATCTACAAGGTCCATCATATTGCTCCCTGGAAAGCTCGGGGTGTGCAGCAGTGAGAGATGAACCTTAGTTTCCACTTAGTCTCCTATTTCTCCTCTGCTGCAAATAGAGGCATCTCCATGGCTGAAAAAGGGACATTATTATGGAAATGGAATGTCCTACATTTCAGTCTTCCTTAGTGTTTTCCTACTACCATGAGACACCCACAGAATCACAGAATAGTTTGGGTTGGAAGGGACCTTAAAGATCATCTAGTTCCACCTCTGCTATAAGCAGGGACATCTTCAATTAGATTTGTTTGCACCAAGACTTGTTCAACCTTGATTATTTCCAGGGATGAAACATTTACCACCTGTCTGGGCAACTTTTTCCAGTACCTCACCACCCTCATTGTAAAGAATTTCTTCCTTATATGTAGCCTAAATCTACCCTCTTTTAGTTTAAAACTGTTGCCTCTATCCTGTGAGATCCTTAGACTTTTCTCCCTGTTGATTAGGAGTACAAGAATAAACAAGGCTTCTAATAAATTACAATGCTATCCCTACTGTAAGCACGTTTTTAACTTTCCTGTTTGACGATTTACAAAGGATATGCACCATTTTTCATTCCAGGTCTATGGCTAATGCAGAAGTTAAAAAAGTCAGGGTCGCTTTTGCAACTGACCTTCAGGGACAACGCGGATCTACGCAAGTGTTTCCTCTATCAGCTCAGCCAAAAGACGGGTGAGTAGGGCTTGATGTGCCTTGCAAATGCCAAGGGCTATTCCATTGGCTTGTGCTGGATTGGTCTATTTGGGGGGTAAAGGAAATTTGCATTTCATTAATGATCGTTAAACATGCTTTTTAGAAGGACTGTCCTGTCTAAAATCTAATATTGATTGAATCCGTGCATTTTTTCTGTGAGAGATATCATATAATGTCTTTGCCAAACTCTTAGCATTAAATAAGACCTTTGTGCTGTAGTAAACATGCACTGGAGTTTATATTCTGTGAGCAAGAAACATCATTCTTGACAGACCATCATTCCTTAATTTATACTATGAGATGAAAAACATTTTTCCTGTTTTTTTTTTTTTTTTTTGGTAAGTTTAACATCTCTTGTCTCTAGGAAATATGACTCTGTGAGATGAAGAGCAAATTTTATTCATGTCTGTTCTGACACAGAGAGAGATGTATGGCCTCACACTAGAAAAATGATGTCTGAATAGAGAATCTTTTTTCCTATTCTTTAGTCTGTCATGAATAAATTGAATAAATCAGGCTTTTCTTAAGAAAAGGATGCAAGTGTGATCCTTCTGTTGAAGTAATTGTTTTCTTTTAAGAGTTATTTTTAATATTGAGTGCGAGCAAACTGGTGCTAAGTATCTAGTGAAAAGGTCACTACTTGATGTTTAATTATTTTCTCATACTTTTGTACACTGCTAATAGTAAAAAAAGATTATGTTAATATGAATAGAACATCTAAATCTTACAGATATGCTATATAACTCAATCAATGACAGGAAGTTGATGTAAATTGGTGTTATTTGAATTTTCCCTATGATTCCCTAGTTCTTATTTCCATGGAATACAGTTGATGACTGCTTTATTACTGTCAAGTTAAAATAAAATTGGGTCTGCACAAAAAGCTCGTATTTTAATTTCCCAAGTAATGAATTCCCAAGCATTTGTAGTGAGTCAAAGCAATTTGCTGCTTGTTAGGTTGGTAGACTGGAGATATAAGAGGCTTTAAATGCAGGTGTTGTCATAATTGCCAGATGACTCTTTAGGCCTCCAGCAATTTATGACTTTCTTATTAATGTAGAAGTCCCTGCTATCTTTTAATCTCTTTAACAAATGTACTTCATGCTTGTTGTGAAAACAAAAACTGAAACAAAACCCACAATAAAATATTCTTCCCTATTGAACCTCTTCACATAAGGTTTTAGATATGGTAACACTCAGTAGGGCTTCTATCTTTTATTTCGGACTAAAGTTGCAAACTCGGTTGGTTTGACTGCACAAGAAAGAATTTATTAACACCTTAAGATAGGTTTTGGAAAGGCAGCCAGCAGGACTTTTCATTGTGGTGGTGATAGTCAGATTTTCTGTGAAAGTCTAGAAATCATAGTTGTGGAATCACAGAATGTGGATGGGCCTTCAAGATCATCTAGCTTCAATCCCCCTGCAATGGGCACTAGACCAGGTAGCTAAAAGCCCATCCAACCTGCCTCTGGTTCTGGACCACTTTCCCATGAGAGGGAGGGAAAGATGAAGGACAAACCCACAGCTCTTCTGTGTTCAGGATATTCTCTGAACTAGTAGGTTGCCTCATCAGTGCCTATTATCTTACTTTTCTGTTAAATGTGGGTGATGTAGCACTCAAGTGACCGTAGACACGTCAAACTGCAGGAGCTCATCAGTGGCTCCATTAGCACCAGGGAAAAGGGAGGATTTGGGTTTTCAGTTGATTTACCAGCAGCATGGATTTGTCAAGTGACTGCTGCTGATGGATCCTAAGACTCACTCAACACCAATGTAACAGTATGGCATTATAGCAATACCTTTTCTTCTCCCTCTCTCTATTTTGTTTGAGAATTTTACTAATTTATTGTATTATTTTTGAATTTGATCCTGGTTAGAGGTATAAATATTTGCAAGAATAAGATTTTAATAAAATTATTCCTTTTTACAGACAGTTCTTCTCCTTGTTGACATAAAATTAATATATGTGAGTGCTGCTTAGTAACAAATAGTTCACAGAAGCAACAAATATGTGTTTAAGCTGTTATGAATATTTCTAATATTGTTATGTTTTAATAATTATCATCTATTTTGCACTGTAGATTTTCAAAAGCCTTTGAACAGGAAATAATCATGCTGACAATGCATTCATTTTCATCACTATGCCTAATTATGATTAATATATTTAATATGTTTGTGACAGGTCTTCAGTATTTTAAAAATGTTGTGTTAGTGGCCTCACCCCAAGACAGATACGTACCTTTTCATTCAGCAAGAATAGAAATGTGCAAAAATGCACTTAAGGACAGACACACAGGTATGTTTAAGTTCTTTTATATATTCCCAAGGCTGTTGAAGAATTGCATTTCTGTGCAGCTGAGGTCATTACATTAGAAGGGTTTTTCATCAACATGATGAAAACTCAAATGTTTATTTGATAAGGAAGATAGTGTTCATTTCCCACAGGAAATTACTGAAATCAATAAAAGAAGCTTTTCAAGAAGCTCTTTTCCTGATGAAAACAAATTTAAATGAGGTCATAATCAAAGGTTTCTTACTGCTTCCTCCCCTTCCCTCTAATTTTATTTTTAAGTCATAATAGAACTAGCTCTTGACAATGTTTTTCTGTAGTTTACTGATTTATTTGTATTTTCTCCCCTTTTTTTTTTCACATAATGAAATCTTTCTCAGCACATTCAAAGTAAGGAGGGTTTCCCTTTTTTTTTCAATAATGTTTGAATGAATGCAAGATAATTTAAGGGACAGATCTAAAATCATATTGTTTTGTAATAAAATCTGTAAAACATATCAGGACTCACTCCACCAGAGGCCCTCCTGTGAGCTCAGTCTGTGTGTATTGCTTTTGTTATTAGCAGTCTTGCTCATTTATAAAATATTTCATGACTTCAGTTTGATACCACATCCAGGAATAATGTTCAGTGTGATTTTATCCCCATTTCACATGTGTGATTACCTAGAAATTGAGGTGTTCTTTGGAAGCAGAAAGAGACACACAGGGCCAATAATCAGTGTGGTTGCCTTCATATCTCTTACTTAAATGACAGCTCTTTCTATCCTACCTCAGACATTAATTAAAAGGAAATTCTTCAACTCACCTACAGCGGTTATTCCTCAGGGACATGCTTGATCTAGCAGGAACCAGGTCATTGCATTATCAATACATCAGATAATTTATCTGTAAATGTTTCCTGAGCCATTGTTTCTGCCCCTATAAAGCCCTCAGCTATCTCTACATTATGACCTTCCTGCATTAGAATAGGCAGAGAAACCCAAATGGACTTGTGTCCTGCCAGACCCTCTCACATTTGAATTCATAGGCAGTGTGAGTCCAACCCCAGCCCCTTAAAAGAAACATGAGCATTTTCTTCCCTGATGGAGGAAAGGCTGAGGATGTCCCAGGCCTCATGCTAAGCAGCTTCAGCAGATCCCTCCTGATGGCCAGTGCCTCCATTAGATGAGCACCACTCTGGTGTCTGGCAAATCTTTGAACTAGACTGTTGTGTATTACATTTATTTTGGCCTTACTTCCATTTTTCTTCTCGCTGAGACTGTAATGAAATGATGCTGGAAGAAAAGAGAAAATCTGGGAGCTTTGGCATGTAGGTGTGATATCTTAACTCCTTTTCAGGTCCTGTTTACGCAGAAATGATCAACAACCTGCTCCAGCCTTTGATTGGAGCCAAGGACTGCACTTTGATCAGACACAACGTGTTCCACGCTCTGCCTAACACCGCCAACACCTTGATAGGCCGGGCTGCCCACATCGCTGTGCTGGACTCCGAACTTTTCCTGGAGAAGTTTTTCCTCGTGGCAGGACTCAACTACTTCAAATAGTGCCTGAAGTACGGGGTAACAGAGGCCAACCTTTCCACTGGGTGGAGGAGACTTCCTTAGCCAACAGAGTGCAATGTTAGAAATTAGATCAGGTGGGACTTTCAAACTTTCCATTTCCATTTCTCTTTCAGAGAATAAAGTGCTATGGCTTTAAGGCATTCAAGCTTCCAAGTATTGGTGCTTTTGGAAGAAATAAATATTCCTCTTCAGTTTCTATGTTTTTTGTCCACATAAAGAAATGAGCCACTTCAGAAGTACAGAATCAGAGTAAGAAGGTTAATTCTCTAAATGTGTTTGGACTAATATAATTCCCATTTCTCTTGAATATTAAACCAGGAACTTGTCTGTCCTTGATTTGCTGCTTATTTATGTATTAACAAAACTCTACATTTGTAGCACTCTTGGGGTAGTTAACACACAAGGAAACAAGTGTATGTGAACTCAGGTTAAAACCTTCTTTGTGATGAACTGAAAAGTCTGAAAACCATTTATGAAAGTTTCAGTCTTTCTGTTTGTTGGAAGAAGATATTTGGATGGTTCCATTACTGGTAATAATTTGTAACATACAAATTGTACATTCAAATAATGGAAAGGAGTAAAATATTTTACATAGAATGAACAAATATTGATATTTGTCTTTAAAAAGAAGCCCCAACTTTAGTTTGGGAAGAATTTCATTTGAGTTAGAAGCTGCCAAACCAAGAGGACTATATTGGATTACTTGTAAAATATCACTGGCATCTGTTAACATTTCTTCTGTTTACGTTCATCAAGGAACATAACTGACTGTGTTTGTTATAACCTTAAAGGTACAATTTTTACATTTATATTTGTACATTTGTATCTAAGTCCATTTTTTCCAACAATTTTGGGGTTTTTTTTAATTTATTACGTTGATATGGAATTCAAAACCTAGCCAGTTATACCCTTGAAAACCCCAAATATTTGGAAAAATAAATGCTGGAGATATAGAATGGTGAGGATTGTGGAAAACTTAAAAAATATAAGTATGTCTTAAGGTCCTCTGCAATACTCCTTAAATGCTTTGTTAATGCCCATTTGCAGCGCTGTATACAGTCCTAATTATTATATGGTTACAGCTGGTTGAACTATTTAAAACTTTATTTGTGCAATGATATCTAGGTCATTTTTAAGAGTTTGAAAAAGAACATATTTTCCAATTTTTAATTTTTTTCATCAAATTTGCAGTAAGATTTTTATCACAAAGTTATCAGATTTAAAGTGACAAATTTCAATAACTTTCTGCACATTTTCATAACATTTGGATGAATTTTCAATGTCACAGGAGTTTTTTGAAAAAAGTGAAAGTGAATAATTCTTCACAATTATTTTTGTTTAGAAGGAAGGCGATTTTTTAAAGCAAATACAATTTGTTTAAAAATACAAATGAACAAGTCTCCATATCCTCTAGCAATGACTAAAAAAATTACAAATTTGGGTTTAGGTGTCAAGACTTCCATCAGTAAACTAACATTAAAATGGTTGATTTGTGAAATAATAGAATACAAAATGAAAACAAAAAACATCATAGCCACAGGGAAATACTTTTAGTTGCAAAAAGTAAACCTAATTTTTTCTCAAAAGAAAAAAAGTGACAAACTTACACCAAATTAGTTCAAGAAAAGAGATTTAGCAGACTGGCAAATGCTGGTAAAGGGAAAAGGCTGGCTTGATAACTAATGCATGTTTTTAAAATAGGAAGGAGAAAGAAGGTATGTACCAAATGGTGAGACTAAACCACCTGAAAAGAAGTATTACACATCCTTGTGCCCTCACAGAGGCAGAAATCCTATGGGAACAATTCCATGGTGTGATTCAATGTTGGCAAGTTTCTTAAGCAATTCCTCAGTACTTGAATTAAATAGGTACATACTATGGTGTCTCACTCTCTCTTTTTCTTTCTTTCCTTACAGATTGACTGTTAACTGTTAACAGTCAGTTTTACTCAGTTAACAAATGAATTCTATCAGGAAACCTGTAGTTTCCATTTCTTGTTTGGGAATTTTTTCTAATTTTTGGCCTCAAAAGTCTAGTGCCAGCTGCACTGACATATCTCAACTTCTTCCTCAGTAAATTGTTTAGAGAATTTTAAATACAATGGGACATGGAGGTGGAGCTGTTAAATAGTGCAGCCCTTTTGAGCCAGGACTAGTACTTCTATATGGAAAAACTGGAAAGAAAAGAAACCTCTAACCATAAGCAACCTCCAGTGTGCTCTATGAGGGTCTGGTCCACTTGTAGAAAATGTTCACGAGTCTGCAAACTGAAGATTTTGAAAAACATTTAAAAAGAAGTGACTTTACACCTATATACATCCTGCTCTGTGTGTGTACATAGTCTATATACAAGAAAGTTTGCTTGTTTCCAGGTCTCACACACCAACTTACACAGTCCTGAGTCTGACAACAAACCAGTGCAGCTGTTTTATACTCAGATGAGAGGTTCTTGCCTTGCCTTGTGCATTGGGCAGCATTCCCAGCCTTCTGTTTGCATGACTGTAAGAGAATGCATATGGGAAAAGGTCTCTGCATTGCTGCAGGAGTTGGTGGGTCTTTACAAGTTCATTTTGATGTTCTGTATTCCTATCAGTGCTCTGACTGATGGATAAATATACCTAAAGATGTCACTGTTCCTATTCATATAGAATTCTTTGATGGCTCAGTCTGATTACAGAGTTGGAGTTGGATTGCTAATAGACTTGGATCAGGTCCACATAACTTAAATCTTGTGCAGTATGGAAGAAAGCTCCTGTGGAACCTCAGAAAAATCTGGGAAGTATCATTCCTGTCAAATGATAAGACACAGATTTTATCATCCTTGGCAGAACATTGTGGGATATATTGGCAGTGGTCTAGTTCTGCTTCCATTCTAAGGTTCTCAGAATAGCCTCGCTCACTTTTTCTTCTTTTATTGTTTTTAATGGGATATTATTTTTAAGTACTTAAATCCACTCAATTGTATAGACAATATTGCAAAGAAATCTGCATTGTCATTATAAAAAATATATAAGTTTTGGACAAAGTATATATATATACAATTTTCAGATTTGTACTTACATGGAAAGAAACATACAGCAAGAATTATTTTCATAAAAATTAGCGAAGTGCACAGTTAGCATCTTTGTTTCTGTCATAGCCTTTGGAATTTCAATATACTGTTCTTTCACATATGATCTTTAAAACACATTTAAGTACATTTGCAGTATTTCTGCAAGGATTTTCCCAACAATCTGCACAAGTCCCCTTTGGCTTCCTCTATCTATGGGGGCAGAGCTTAAAGAGCTCTTCAGTGAAGCTCTCACATTCAGCTTCACTCTTCAGTGAAGCTCCCACATTCATAGGGGATAAGAGAGTTTTTCAACATCTTGGACAGAGGAGGGACAAACCTGGGTTTTTTTTTTTTTATAGCTTGTCAATATTAGTGTCAGCTGTATTTGAAGTGAAACTCTCTTCAATTCTAAAAGGATTTTTCAGTTAAGAAAAAAACAAAGCCAGCATTCCAAGGTTGTTTTTTAGCATCCAAAAAGCTTAAAACTAACAAGGAGGATCTCCACCAGGTAAAGTGCATTTGGCTGTTGAGGTTTTCCAGTGTCAAAGGTGAAGTATGGGCTGTAGCCCAGATTAGCAAATTCTCTGGGGGGAAGGGGATAGCCCATGTGTAGAAAAGAGGAGCAGAGCCAGCAGATGTCAAGGCTTTGAAAGACAGAAAAAGATAGGGGGATGGAAGAAAGACAAGGAGTTCCTGAAGCGGACTGTAACATTTAAGAGGACTGACTTAACTGTTTTAAAAGATTTGAAGAACTTATAGCAGTATGGTTATAAAAATTCAGTTGATATTGATAATTTTATGATCATGCCTTTATTAATAGCTAATTAATTTTTCTTGATATTCTGGGTCTCTTAGAGCCCATTTCTTCCTACTCTTAAAAGAATTTAATATCTTCTGAAATGGATTTTTTAACGTATGGATGGAGAGAAATTGCAGTATTGACTAAGTGTGTGTAGATGAGGGACAGAATAGCAAGTTCTTTCTCCATCTGGGCTAAGGATTTTGAAGGAGTTGGTTTTCAATCTTCTGGAAAAAGAGAATGCAGTCTCCTGAATCCTCTAGAATTGTTTCTTCTTGGAGAATTGTAGAATTTGTCCTGTTTAATGTCATCACTTAATTTGTGCTTAAAAACTTGTTGCAAAATGAATTTGTTCAACTAAAATAAAAGGCTTAATTTCTGTCTGTAGTCAGTGAAGAGAGGTAGGTACTACTGAAAAGCCTGCAGTAGTGATCCTGGTTTTTGCTGTAGTGGCATTCAGGGTTATTTATCTCTGTTCCTTTTCCAGGGAACTTATAATAAGTCTCACTTTCTGGGTGTCCAACACATAGAACAGAAACTGGAGGGTCAGCATTTGTGGACTGGATTACTTCAGTTTTTCATACTGGGTGCAAGTTTTGACTGCATACCTTGACCAAAAGCAAACATGTAAGCTATGAAAAAAGCTCCTTTAAAATCTGTCAGGGAATGGGTCTTTTTCTGGCCTTCAATGAATGCTGGTTTTCTCTTTAATGAAATTCAAAATTTGTTTTCAAAATCAAGTCTGTCCAGTGACAATAGAGGAAGTTGAAATTTTTTAGCTTTAAAGGATTCTTTTCTAAAGACACAAAACCTTAGCACAGAGCTTTGGAATTACCTACACAAATTCTGAGCACTATTTGACTTCAAAGCATTTCATACATATCCACTGACCAATCCCCTTCACTGCTCCCTTGCCAGAAAAGAGCCACTCTTGAGAGAGAAAGCTATCACAAGACAGTGTGAAAACTGGGAATTCAAGCAAAAGTTTTCATTAGAATTTGTAGTTTTCTTTGGTGCTTTTTACATGTTAAAAAAAAACCCAAAAAGTCTCTTGCTTTCTACCTCTGCATTTAAAATAGTGAGAGTGGTGATGAAGGAGAAAGATGAGAGTTTCTAATAACAGGGTTAGACCCTTGTGAAGACTTATGCAAATATCCCATGAAATTAATATATAATGAATGGTCATGGAGCATTTCTGAGGCAGCCTCAGCATGCCAATATATGTCAGCCTAGCTGAATGATTATTTTCTTTGTGGACTTAAATTTCCATTTATAAATTAGCATCAGGACAGCCTAACATATTTCACTCCAGCTGGTTATTTAGATGCTAAAGGTCATGTCCATAGAGAACTTTTATGGAGTGCTTTTCTTTATTTCAACACATATGCTCAGCACTTTTGATAGTTAATGTTATCTAATTGACAGTTTCTAGCTAAATTTATCTCCTCCCCCAAATTTTCAGTGTTTATTTAATCACTGAAATGTTTTTAAGTTATAAACCAGAATAAATACAGGTCTGTTTGAGTTAGTGTTCATGTTCTTTAATGCAGTTACTTTATTGCTGTAGTACCACAGTCTCAGGACAAATAACCACTGAATTCATGTTTGGAGTAATGAAATTCATAGTGGAGGGCTTAATTAGCTGCAGTTCACTCTCCTCTGGTTTGGTTTTGCCTTTGGGGTCAAACAACCACTGCAAGGTCCTGCCCTTGGTTCTGTTCATGGTTCCCTTAATTTTCAATTCCTTTGAGATGCCTAAATTGCCCTAAACTACTGTTCTTTGTCCAGATATTCCCATATTTGCTTGGTCACCTTTCCATGACCTGACTGCATCTCTTCCATGTACTGTGCAGTCAGTGCAGACAGGGATTCACAAATATATCCAGCACTGCCATTCCATTTATCCAGGAGTGGGAATTGTGCTCACACATTCATTCCAGTCGATTTTCTCAGCCTTTTATGAGGACTGCTATGCACCCACCCAGACATGTTACAGATGACAGAATATTTTGTTTCAGAAGGAACAGCTGGAAGTATCCCTGAATAATTCCTGTTCAAAGCAGGATTATCATGAACCTCATGGTAAGGTCAGTTATATATTTCTCTTGCTGGATATTGAAAACATCTGGTGATGGATATATTACAGCTGCTCTGGAATGCCTTCTCAACTGCTGTATATCACTCCTAAGGAAAACAACCAAGCAAACAATAACAAAAATTAAAAAAACCTCCAATTTAACCTTTCTGAGCTGCAGTTTCTTTCTGATGCGATTTTTTTATTCCACCTTTTTATTCCATGGGGTTGTTCTTACTTCTGGTACAGTTGCTTTTCCATGCTTTCAGACAGCTCTTTGTCTTTCTTGGTTTTTTTTTTTTGTGCCAGGCTAGACAAGCCTGACTCAGTCTGTGCTCAGAAGCTGTGTGTTTAGACCCACTCACCATCTTGGTGATCTTTTTTTGGGCACCCTCAAGTTTCTCAACCCTGAACTGGGTTTAAGAGTCACCAGGAACTGGCAAACTGCATTGGATGCTAGCTCTGCTGCAGACTGGTGCCTTTTTCCTGTTCAGGAGAGCCTCTGGCTGCTGGAACTCATCACATCCTCTCCCTGTCTGAAGCTCTAATCTGGAGAGCTGGAGCTTTTCTCCTGTTGCCACAATTGCAATCTTCCAGTGCCCTGTGAATTAATTTTTACTTTGGGCACAGATATTGAGGAAACCTAGAGTGACTAAGGCTGCTGATGTTTCTTCTCTGTTTTAGGAAGACTGTATAACACATCTGCACTTCCCCAAGAGAAATCCATGCACGGAATAGAAATGCTTATGAGAAGAGTTTAATCAGTGTTGAACAGTTAGAATACTTTAAATGCAGATGAGTCAAGCCTTCCCCTCATAGGACAAAAGCATAAAGAATAAATATGTATAAACTCATCTTATGCAAAAGGTCAGATTAAATTAACTTCTGCTACAACCTTGAAACTTGATTTCTCTGCTTCTGAAAATTCAATTCTCCACTTTCACCCAAAGTGTTGCAAGATGCTCTTATCTGAGTGGCAACCTAACCATATCTTTCTGAAATGGATTTCCACACATATTCCATAAGTCCAGTGTCTATATGCTAATTGAAGTGAGTTTCATGTCTTCAAGTATATTCTGCTTCTTCAAATATGAAACTGTGATACAATTCTTACTACAATCCACCATGCCTTCCAGTCTCTGAAAGATATCACTACAAACACAAACGACTTATCCAAAGGAACAAAAAAACCCCTCTTCTCCACATGAAAGTCTTCAGTAATTCTCTTTTATTTTGGAGTGGGTGATTGGAATATTGTGACGGCTTTTTTTATGCATCCTGTAAATGGGGTCACACTAATAAGTGTAACAGCTTTTGGTGCTGAAAACTTCATTATTTCAAGGAACGAATTTAAGAAGTTTATCATTCCTTCCTGAAAGCATAAGTGCTATTAGGGATCTCTCTATTTTAGCCCTGGAGACACTTACTCTTTGCTACTTTTATATGGACAAGACCATGTGCATCATTCTCAGCTGTGCAAAGAGGCCAAGGCATTTCTGATACTATCAAATATGCAGCTACATGTGTGGAAAAGGCTGAGTGGGAATGTTTTTGATGCAAAAAGAGTCATCACTTTCAGTAAAAATGCTAATTTAAAGTATAGTTCTTGTGTGTAACCACTTCCATATGATGTATACCCCAAATATATACGTACACAGAAAGTGTCTTTTCCCATAAGAGCTGTATGTTATTTCCATTGTGTTTCCATACAGAATATATATATATATATATACACCATCCCACCATACTTGGGAGGAAGCTGGTGTTCAGCCTAACAGGTTTCTGTTGCTTTTGGGGACAGGTTACGTTGGTTGTCCTCGAGAGCTCCTGTGAAAGAGCCATTCTTGGCTTCATCCTCGTTGGAGGAGGGAGGTTGTTTTGTGTGGTGATTTGTCGACCTCTTGGCACACCATTAGCTGACAAAGCTTATCTAAGCAGTCCTGAGTTTGATGTGTGTAATCTACCATCCCCATGGTTTCTGTGGTCAATGCAACCTGTCAAACTGAGCTGCCCTGTCTCCTAAGACAGGAAACCTGTCACCATCTCTTAATTTTCCTTGACATCCATCCTCTTCAACCAAGCACTCATTTTTTAAGCTGGTAGATCAATGATTTATCAGCTTATCCACTCTTCTTATGAATTTTAGTCTTCTATATATATTTGACTATGCATCCAGTTTGGGAAATTAGCTCTTTCCCTTTTTCTGCAGTTAAATCTTCTTATGAAACATGAAGGAGATCAGTCAAGAAGTCTGGGCAAGCCATGGTATTCCTTTACCACTGCATGTCTGAGAAAAAAAACCCCACCACTGAAGACCCACTAGTATTCATAGAGTGTTCTGTGTTCGTTTTCTACTGTGTTTGTTTTGCCAAGAAAAAACATACACTGATGTTTTGTCCCATTCCTTTTTGGGTATCCAGGTGAGTCAGAGTCTACATATAGCTCTGACAGACTGAGGAGAAGGCAAAGATAAACCCTCCTCCTGTCTAGGACGTGACAGGGATATACCCCACTGAGATGGCAGTAATGACAGAGAAATCAAAAAGAGCACCTTCCAAAATCCTATCCAATTTATCAAAATAAATCACTCCATAATATTGTTGGATTTTTGGCAAAAGTATCAGGTCAAAACACAGATCAGCATATTCCAAAACACAAAGTTCAGAAGTAAATTGAAAATTATGTTGATATTTTTCTACATGGATTTGTCTCTAATAATAAGAGTCCTTAAAAGAGGAACAGTTTAACCTAAAACTTGTTTTCTCAGACTTGAATAATGAATCTATTTATTATTATCTTAGACTCTAGCACCAATCATCTTTATAACTCCCTTAAAATATAATCAAGTCCTTTAAAAAAATAAAAATCTGATCTTAAATCTCTATCTTTCAGTTAGACAATTATCCACAGCATCTGAGACAGCAGACAATTAAACTTTCTCTATATACAGAATTACCTTCAATGAACAGTACAAGCCTTAAGTGGGAAAGACTTGTCTGGTGGGAGATCTTCTTTCTTGTTTAGAGGAAGTTTATGTTGATGAGTCTAATTTAGCCAATAAAGAAAGTAGGTGAATTCTGTCCTCTTTCTTAGCCCTGCAAATTCAGGCACTTAAAATTAATCATTCTAGTTTGTGTAACAAACAAAACGCATCTCTGAGGCAGGTTTTGATTGATGTCTTATCTTTCCCTGTATGAAATGTACAAACACAGTTACTCTGGTTTTGACACTGGAACCATATTCTTGGTTTAATGACGCTTTCTTCAAAGTGTGTTAAAATTGTAACTCTCAAAATCAGACTTTGATTTTTCATAATAGTTAAAGTTAACAATGGCAGCAGAAGTAACCACATTTTTATAGTATCTATTCAAATGAACACCTTACACTGCTTAATTCCTAGCTCAATGGTAACACCTAAAATTGCACCTTCACTGTTCCTCAACTGACATGTGGACTAGAACTCAATGGACAGGAGCATAGTGATGTGAAGATCCTTAGCCTGTGTTTCAGAGTTGTTTTTTACTTATTTATTAAATATTTAGAAAATACCTCTTGGAATTTACCCCTACTTTTTCCTGTAAATAATTAGCTCTGAAAGTGGTTTTTTGTATGCACACTGTTACAATTTTTATTTAACAAAGGCAAGGCTATAAAATTTTTTGAATGAAATAGTATGGTTTGAGGTTTTTTCAGATAAGCAATTGCCAAATAATTTTGGGCTGAGTTTCAAATGAGTAATTTCAGCTTGAAGCATTTCAAATTGATGGGGTTTTTAATAATAAAAAAACTATACAAAATCAAGAGATTGGCCCCTGAACTTGATAACCATTTGTATTCTTGCAAAGTGGATGTAAAATACTAGCATTGGATTCATGCCCATGTTTGTGCACACAGGCTGCAAAGCAAAGCATCAGAGATATATCCTTCTCCAAGTACTTCCTTTGGGGCTGATTGTTCAGGGCAAGCAATATGCATGATATAACTGGTGCATGTAACAGTAACTACAACATTCTGCAAATTTGAATTTATACAGTAACTTGATATCAAGGCTGAACTTTGCAGATGAGTAGTCTGTGGTATTTTTAATTATAACCCTTTCTGCGGTCTGAATACGAGTACAGCCAATTCCGTCATGTGACACTAGAAGTTGGACTTTTAAATGAGACATTATTATATTTGATTGAGGCAGTTATGTTTTTCAAGAATTATTTCAAATCAGACAGAAGCAGCAATAATTAGAGGTTGAGAGCTTAGAAAACCTGTGCTATTTTTTAAGACACCGAGATTTACAACCCATGCTCTGTCTGCCTCTGTCTAATTTAGTTCCCTTTCCCTAATGAACATTTGTCAGCTACCACACACTTCAATTTTCTTTAACTATGTCTGTCGAGATTTAAGTGAGACTTACATCAAAAAAGCAAAACTAATCTCACTAAGTGGAAATATGTGAAGTTGAGTCAATTCTGTGATATTTTAAGGAAAATGGAAATGCAAATCAATTTTCTTAGAGTGTAGGTTCGAGTTCAACAGCATTCACAAAGTCTTTATTAAAGGTCTGATCCTGAGAAATGCTGGTCAAATGCACTCTTGGTATAATGGACCAAATCTGCAAGTGGATTGACCTGGTGAAGAGCTTTATACAGCCACAAGATCTTAACAAATGGCAACCAGCAGCATCCATGGCATCTCAAAGTCAGACCACCACAAGATAACACATGTTCTGTGTTCTTTTTAAGGCAAACTTTCCAGTTGGTCAACTGTGTTTTAAAAGTAATGTCTTTTAAGACCAATGCAGACCTCTCCAAGGGATCAAGTCAATGGATTACTGTGGACAGATCCTTATAGGTTAAGGGAAAGGGCTTTTAATTTTTAAATCTACTACTTTGAATCATGATCATACAAAAAAACTGAAGAAATCTGACATGATCCCTTGTATAAATAAGATAATGAATGTAAAGCTTATAATGCCACTGTGAAATTTTAATGCTTATTTATTATGGTTATGATGAAACCTGTATAATAAGATGAAGATGATAATGATGATAATAATAATAATAATAATGATAATAATATAATGAATAGTCATCAGTGCCAATATGATTCTACTATTTTTCTACATATGCTTTATTGTGGCATTTTGTGTAGCTTGTGATCTGTGTAAAGAAATGTCAATAAAATATTTGCTTCCTTTTGTCTGTACTTTCTGTGGTTCTTGATTATTAGGAAATTCCCTAACCACTTTTGTCCATGTAGCTCATGGCAAACATGATGAGAGTGATAAGCAGAAGTAGAATAAAATATGCTCAATTACAAGAAAATGGATGAGCTATATTAAGGGCTGTGACTGGTGCCTTATCCCTGGAAATGTTCAAGGCCAGGCTGGATGGGGCTTTGTTATGGTTTGACGCTGGCACAATGCCAGCGCCCCATGAAAATACAACCTACCAATCAAATGCTGTGAAATGTGATCAAGAACAGAGCAAAGCAGGCCAAACTTAATAACAAAGGAAAAACTTTATTACACTACTACTACTACTACTATAAAAGGAAAAGAAAGGAAAGAAAAAAAACCCACACAAAATTCGAAATGAAAACCTTCCAAAACATTCCTCTTCCCACCACCCAACTCCACCAAACCCCAGCGAGACCCATTTGGATCCTTAATCAAGTTTTCACCCTTCAATATGATCAATACTGAGTCCATCGGGGAAGAGAGGAGTCCCCCTTGCAACCATAGACCCCCAGGAAACACAGCTGCCACCTCTTGTGTTTCCAATGTCACACGTGGCACTGCCCAGACACACCAGCCAGTCTGACGCTCTCCTCTCCATGTCACAGTGCTCTCACCACCGTGCATGGACAGAGACTGCTTATAGGGCCCCCTTAAGGATGCTCAGCCAAGGACCACCAGGAACAACAGTCCAGTATCACAATTCGGGACTAGAGTCTCCCCCATTTTCCCCTGAGGCCGAGGGTCCAAGGACAGAGATCGCCTTCTCTTCTTCCTGAAGATGGAGGGCATCCTCACACCCTCCTCAGCTCTCTCTGTCCATTCCTGAACTGGTAGTTGCTGAAGAAGGTCTCTTGGCTCACCAGTGCATCCCCCTAAAATGCAGTCCCTCTTGAAAGAAAGAGTGGTTCAGTCTATAGTAAACAAGCAGAGTCCAGCCAAAAGCGACTCTATCATCTGCCCCCAACCTTCTTCTCTACACATCTGAGGTCCCAGGCTGTCTCTCTTTCCTTCAAATTCAGGAGGAGTAATATTTCATAAAGCTTTCATTTCACAGGAAAGGGTTAAAGTTCCCAGACTCCCCAGATGGCTGCAATCTCAGCCCAGGACTCCGTCTCCCATCTCCCACGTTGGGCATCTTCCCCCCCCTTCTCCTTCTCCTCCGCCAGCAAACTCCTAAGTGTCTGCTGGCTCTCTATCTCTTTTCCCTCTAGCTTAGGGAGGGGGAACAAAAACATCCCAGATGTTCTCCACCCTTTGTCCACAGGAGCTGGCCCAGCTTGGTTCCGATCCTTTACCTTCTGGCCTACCTCTGCAGGCCGCATGGCTCCCCTCCCCCACCCAGCCCGGGCTGGGCAGGGGAGGTCCGTATCATGCGGTGACCGGAACCAAAGAAAGATGAGTCCTCCTGGGAATTCCGCTTTTAACCCCTCTGTGTTCTCAGAGGCGTGTCCACCTTCAATTGGTCAGCCCAAGTGTCAGTATCCAAACCTGACCCCTGACTGGATGGACCTCTTCCTTCTAAAAAAAAATTCTCTTCCCATGTCAAACCATGACAATGGTCTGGTGGAAACTATCTGTACCCATGGAAGGGAGAATGAAACAAATCCTGTCCAACCCAAAATATTCTGTGATTCTATGCTTCTGTCCTTCTGTTTGAAGAATAAAAACCATCTCTGACTTATCGAACGCATAATTATTAAGTAAAATAATAATGGTCTAAAAGGCCTTGAACATGGAGCTCTTTTAGGCAAGTGAAATGAATGGGACTTGAAACAAGGTCTTGAAACAGAAAATTCTAGGATCATTTTTAGGTGTTTTTGCGTTCAATATTTAAGAACAGGTTTCACAAATGTTATTCATAAGTAGACTTTAGTTCCTCTGGCCCCATATGTTGCAATTGTGAACTTCCTTATACGTGGCTGCTATACTTCCTTATACACTTTTACCAGGAAGTTAATGGAAATTGGTGGGCTGGAGTTGGAGGGATTTGCTGTTTCTTCATGTCTCTATGTCCATGTCTATACCATTTAACCCAACAAGTAAAGGATATTTCTGCTTTTCTGTAGTCAAATAGACAGGGACTATATAAGTTCTGGGCTTAACTCACAATTTCCATTAAAATACATCTGTACTTAAAATTAGTCACAGCTGTACATCAGCATCACAAACATCCGTTTATCCTTCTATCAAGGACATATCCCTTTCTATTAGTTTAATTTTTCTCCAGATATTTACAGACTGTTGATGGCATGGGTAGTGTAGTGTTATATAATGGGATGCAACCCATGTTATCTAACTTAGGAAATGGAAATGATTGAAGTGAAGCAGACCAGAGTCCAGTTCCAGAAGTTTCCTGGTGCTAACTGATGCTTTACACTCTTTCGGGCAATTTTTGAGGAAAAATAATTATTCGGAATTGTCATCCCCAGAGACTCCAAAATAAAAATACATTGAGAAATTGATGGAAGCCTTTAGAGAGCCAGGGAGGGACTACAAAATTTAGGGCATTGCAGCCTTCTTGTTTCAAACTGATTAGCAGTCAGCAGGAGCTGTGTTGTTGTGTCTGTGTCTGTATAGATAGTTTTTTTCCTAACTCATTTCACAATCATATCAAATGGCAAAGAGGCCAGCAGCAGGGAGGGTATAATTAGTGCATTGGTTAAATGCATTTTCCTTTTGATTATAATTACATTCAACTCTCACAGGCTGAAAATGAATTGACCTCACCTTAATCCCAACTACTTGTTTGTCCATCCTCAAAACGTTACATCCAGGAGTTGGCATATTCTCTGTGATTTGGCAGAATGCCCCTCAAAGCAATCAGGATAAGCAGATAAACAGGTACTGTGGTCAGTGCCAGGGCAGACTCATCACAACTGTGCAGGAAAGGCAAACCAATGCCAGTTTTATGATGTCTGGTCCAAATTGGTATTTTTAGTGCATTATTTTAAAAATTGCTAAATAACCCTCACTAGTCTCCTGAATCTAATTGTGGTAATATGGTAAACTATATCCTCATCAGAATCTAATTTTGTGCTGGGGACTCCTAGTGAAGAAACACCATGATTTGGTGTCATGGCTGTCTAAAATGAAGTAGGTGTTGTCTAAAAAATCTGTGGCACAGTCCACATCCTGGTTAGGTTTTAGTCATAGACATGTGGGATTCCTAGACCAATCAAGTAATGTAAGAGCAACACTTTTTAAAAGGGTCTCTATTCTCTCAAAGGCAATAGGCAGGTACCTATCAGGGGACAAAAGCTCAGTTTGGCCCTTTGAATAACTTCTCAGGGGAGTGTAACAGTAAAGGATACATATGCCCTTGAGAAATGGGGAGAATCACAAATAACTCCATGACAAGCATGAGCAATATGAAATAGAGTATGGGTAACATGAGCTTTCATTGTCTTTTTAAGCCTAGAGACAGTCTGGTTTTTTTTCCTTTATGGTTGGAAACCCAAATGCAAGTAGGCAATCTGGTAAAATATTGCTCTGTATAGCCCAAAACAAATCTGATCTAAAGCCTTTTCATAACTTGGAAGCACACTGTGTTCCCTGTAGCTCTAGCTTTCGGATGGTTGGGCTTTGATCCTGTTCTTCCAGATGTAACTCATACATGTAGCAGCAACCTGTGTCCCTTCCCATAATATTTATATTTCAATTTTTCTCTCCTTTTCCTCTAACCAGTGTTTCCTGCACAAACAAATCCTCTTTCCCAGCTCATTACCAAAGATAGTACCCAGTGAAATGAACAATTGACTTTAAAAATCAGAAGGCAAATTCAAAAAGACTGAATTAGTGAAGAGCCAAGAATTTATTTACACAGTTTTGACTGCAATTAGCAAAACAAATAAGCTAAAACTGGTCTGCTGGACTTAGAGTTAATTATTGCACTGGAATTGATGGTTCATTACTGAAGAAAAGAGTAGGTGTGGATTTTCTGCATTTCATCTGAGTGTCGTTGTTCAGACACTGATCTGCACAGAGCGGTGGTTGGTGGCCTTAGCAACATGTTCTTCAGCTTGAATGGCTCCTGAGAGCTTGATTGGCTTGATCAAGTTTTTATTATTGCTCTCCAAAGAGGTTTCCTCCCTGATTTGAGTCAGAGAAGGAGCGAGACATGCATTCATACACTCTCTGTCCCACACAAACACACACACGCACACAGAGCCCTATAGAACAAGCAGAGAGTACAGAGCACATATGGCACAGAGAACATATAGTAGAGTACATACACACTGTACTATACTTATAGTTCTACTGCAGGCAACTAACAGCTTCATATTCATACAAAATTCTCCTACATATGGAGACAGATGAAACTTGGCCTGTGCTTTTCTTCTTTGAGCCATGACACTGAAAATAAGAACCAACACCCAGACTGAAAATGCTATATCTTTCATCATTGCTTGCCTTTTCTCCCTCTCATTATGTCTTCTGCATTTTGCATTCAAATTCACTCATTAATTAATAATTAGTAGCAATTTTGCACCTGCATCTAGGATATATTCATCCCATAAGCACCATGAGGTGTTCATTGAACAGACTGAAAAGAGAGATGTAGAAACACAAGACGTCTGCCTTGCATTGTCCAGTATCATAGATTAGATCAGAAATCCCTGACTCTGTTCCATAAATTTGTTTTATACAGATGTGGTGATTTCTCTACCAAGTTTCAAACTATTTTGGTGGACTTGGACATAAAATTCATAAAATTGACTCACTTGAAATAGTACAAACTCTTTCCACAAACCTGAATTTTTCCTGGTTGTATAATCCAAAGCTGTCACAAGCTTTTTAGCTGCAGAGTTATTTATGGATTACCCTGTCTGATCTTAAAGTGGGGCAAATACAGCAATACCTCTCTAGAGCTGTACTCTACTGTACTAATGGCAAAGAAGCAGCAGGCAGCTCTGAAAGAGCATCCTTAAGAAGCTTTGATAAATCATAAAAGCAATCTGTACATGGC